TAGTAGCCTCCATCTATCTCTCTCAGTACGAATTGCAGGTTGATCATCTTCCAGGGAAAATCAATTTCATCCCTGATGCCTTAAGCAGACTGTCAGCTCCTGAGACCGACCAATTGATCGAGCGGCAACGACCTGACTACACAGCGCTTGACGATGTGCTCCTTGCGTCTGAGGCCATCATGGATCCAGCATACCGCATCAAATTCAAAGAAGGCTATCAGGCTGATACCCATTATCGCAAGATCCTCCAAATGATCCAGGACAGTGAGAACACTGTCAAAGCTTCTAGGGCCCCAGAAATCGCGAAAATCAAGCGCAGAGGAATTCCTTTTCGTGGACCAGGGTCTGTTATATCACGAAGGAAAAGATGGATATGTTCGTCTCTGCGTGCCCGCAAGCCTCACGCACGAATTGATGCAAATGGCACACGACGACAAGCACCACTTTGGCGTTGTGAGAATGCTCAAGGAGTTGGAAACCTATTCGATCAGGAACGTATCTTGGCAAGCGAAAAGCACATCGCCAAGTGCAAAGCTTGCTGCCTTGGACAGACTGATCGACAACAGCTTGCTGGAAGCTATCTGCCCAATCGACCCCCGATGCTTCCAATGCAGTCAATTGCAATGGACTTCATCACAGACATGCCTGCCGTCTCAGCTATGGGCTCACCCTGGCATATTGAAGGCTTTAATGCCTTTAATCAATTACTTACAGTCACTTGCTTAGCTAGCAAGCGATGCCTACTGATTCCAGGCAATGCAAAGTATAGCGCCAAGGACTGGGCAGCCTCCCTAGCTAGGCAGCTCATGCTATGTGATTGGGGCATGCCGCGCACGATAGTCAGTGACAGAGACCGCAAATTCACCTCTGCTTTCTGGCAAGGGCTCTGGAAGGCCTTTGGCACCAGAATCAGCATGACAACGGCATATCATCCGCAGGCGGACGGCTTGGCCGAGCGGCGCAATCAAACAGTGGAAACAGCGTTGCGACTGGCCTATATTGAGGACCCCAACCTTGACTGGAAGACCCTTATTCCTTCGCTGCAGTGGCATCTAAACACAGCCTACAACACCAGCACGAAGACCTCAGCCCATGAACTAATGTACGGATTCCCCCTGAAAGGGCCCCTGGAGGCTGTTGATCGCACAGCCAGCGCAGAGGCAGACGAATTGCCCTACATCAAGGAAGCCTTGCGTAAGCAGGCCAGCCTAGCTATGGACCTTGCAGCGATGAAGGCCAGGCGTTGGTACGATGCCAAACACCGACCTATCCATCTCAAGGCTGGAGACAAGGTATATCTCAAGCTTCATCAGGATATCACCAGCCAGGCAGGCCGCCCAAGAAGTGGTCACAACAGCGGAAGGCCCCTTTGTGATCAGAAGGATGGTTGGAGACCTGGCCTGTGAATTGGACCTTCCAGAGCAAATTAAGGTCCACCCAGTGATCTCAATACACCACCTCAAGCCAGCTCACGAAGGCTGCTTTGAAGAAGCTCACCCCGGACCAGTAGAAGTCACAAGGGACTTTACGGACCAGGAAGGCGAATTCTACGAAGTTGACAAGCTTCTTGACGTACGGGTCAGGAAAATTGGAAGAAACAGGAAGCCCGTCACGGAGTACTTGGTCCACTGGAAAGGATGGGGCAGCATGCATGATCAGTGGGTCAGGAAGGAAGAGATATCGTCAAAGGCCCTGGATGAGTTCCACGGGCAGACGACGGGACCGCGAGTGGTTCGCAACAGCAAAGCAAAGGGACGATCGGAAAGTTCTGACATGTAGCCTCTGTTGAGGCAGTCACTGAGGACAGTGGAGTTTTCTTTTGAGGCCGGCATTATGATGCTTTTTGCGTGTCCCTACGCACACTGGGGCGTTGGGCACGGCACCAAGCATCAAGGACACCGGCTGCCGCACGCGCAGCCATGTGAACAGGCAGCCGTGTGAACAGGCAGCCGTGTGAAACAGGCAGCCGTGTGAGCAGGCATCGGTATGTGGCTGCCTTGTAAACCGGCCGGATCACCTAGATAGTCCGACCTGGCTGCCTCCTACATAAGGATGAAGCAGTCATAGCTTAGTTGGAGAGACAACGATCCCACTTCATCTCATTCATATGCAAAATGCATCATCAAGTCGCCCGTTGAAGTCCAAAGGAACCGCTTCATGGTAGAATGCATGCCCTCAACCATAGAGGTGGTTGTGTGGCCAAGGTGACGATATTGGTCAACGCAATATAGCACGATCTTTTCCTTCCAAGGTTCAAGCCAGGTTTTGACCGCATAATCCACTGCTGCTCGTGGGTGACGGCCTAGAGCAGTAAATGCTTGAAGTCGTTGATTGTAGGTTGCCTCATCAGGGGCATTGATAAGGGCATACCACTCTTTGAGGTAGGCCGTAAACTCAGGGGCGCGAATTACCAGACCCTTCTCGTCTCGCGTGGCCTTCGGAAAGTGCTTCTTCCCTTGGGCAAGAACGTTCTTGTTGACATGCCAGCGGCACAGTAGGTGAATTACTGGACGTAATTCTGGGAAGGAAACAAGGGCATTCATAAGAGCCAGCTCACGGTCAGTGACTATGACCCGTGGCATTAGAATACCCTCTTCTGCTGCTAGCTCGAGCAGGCACTGTAGGGCCCAACGGTACTGTGGCTCTGCTTCCCCATTGAGGAACACACAGGCCACAGAGAAGGTCTTCTTCTCATTAGTTGACCCACATACGTTGAGGAGAGGCATCTTAAACCGGTTGGTCTTATATGTGCAGTCCAAAAGCAGGATCCACGGGAAACGCCGCCAGAGCTCGATGCCGCTGCGCGGTGCGATGAAGAGGCCGGTCAGCTGACCCTCTTGGTCACGTGTATCCCTGAAGAAGAAGAGGGACGAGTCCTTGAGTTGGTCGTATAGGAATTGAAGGGGCGTACGGCCGGCGAGTTCTGTAACGCGGTAGATGGCAAGGGCGTTCCTAATGTGTTGTGCAAGTAAGAACCTGAGGTCTGGGTCATGTTCGGGCTTATGGGCAAGCCCACGGAGGTGGCAGGTGATAAGGGAGGGCTCGAGGCCACAGTTGTATAGATGGATGATATGGTCGAGGTTCTCTTCGATAAGTTCAGCGCGATACTTGCTATGCGTGACGGCAGGCGTGAAGGGGTGGTTGTGTGGCTCAGATGTTCGAGATGGAGATGCGGTCCATCTGCTGCCGCCATAGGCGGGCTTCAGCAGGGATGGACATCTTACGAACGGGAATCGAATCGATAGATTCATTCGATGCCAAGTCTTACGAATATCGAATCGAATTTCTTGGCGTTCGATTCGATGTCGAATCTGTCATGGTCCCATTCGATTCGCATCGAATCGAACGCGGTGTACCTCATTCGACATTCGACAGCATCGAATCGAACGTGGCGTTTTTCATTCGACAGACGAATCGAACAGGGTCACATTTTGGTCGCCATCGAATCGAACGGCTCCCAGGCGTTCGACCGGATTCGATCGATTCGATCGAATGAGTGACGCGGTTCGCGGAAATCACCGCGGGGAACCTTTAAGCGCGTCTTCTCAGACGCGTCAGTCAGCCCCTGTTGGTGGCTGACGCAACCAAGCGTGATTTAGCGTCTATCGACCCAAACCAGGTCAAGGCGTTAAGACATGTTGGTATGTACAGCCAAACCCCCCATAAATACGTGACATAATTAGTATCTTGAAACTCCAGCAAACATGCTCTGCGGAAACCCATTGATGGCTGCTCTATAAGATCACGACGAAGCTCTACAGTGTACGGCTATCATAAGCTCTATGGCGACGTTGCATACGTGCGGTATGTTGGAACGAAATCTCGGTCATCAGGTGGGATTGATGCCATAGGCGCCAGAGATAAGATAAGATTTCGATTGTCTGACCAGGGTATAGGGTAGGTTTACCCGGGCACCCGGTTCCGACGTTGAGTTTACTATACGTGCCCATCCTCTCTGTATTTCGACGGCTGCAAACAAGAAACCGACACATTTAGAGTATCTCTCCCGCAGAACTTGTATATCAGCACCTCAATTACCACAGCTATAATAACATTTCGACGTTGGAATCTCATTTGTGCTACAACTTTGACCGTCTCCTACAGGCCCTCCCAAATGTTCTCAAAATATTCATCGCCTTTTGTCACAGTAACTTCTGCCCAAACCCAACCAGCCTCTAGGCCGATGTACAAGCGACTTCAGAACACTCCCCCAGCTGCACTCAAAGCTCTGACTACCTCAAACGAGCTCAAGGCCGATTCAGATACGAGACGAGAATGGCACGAGAAGGGGGACCAGAGCCAAAGGAAACGACTCGTCACACGCCACGATGATCTGTGCACTAGGACGCAAGCCAATGGGGGCACTGGAAACGCTGATGAACAGGTGGATCTATCAGACAAGGTAGCCGGGGTCTTATGGCGCCTTCGATTTAACTGGCTGCAAGCACGGGCGGAGATGCCGTGCCTGACGCTTCGGAAGCCAGTCAAGCAAGCATCAATGCCGGAGGCCAGGGATCTTCGCAGCACCCCACGGTCCATCGTCGTTGTGCATTGGTGACGGAAGCTCTTTTCACTCGTCCAGACCACTTTAGCCAATGCAACGGAGATTGCGCCCCGACGGTTTTCTTCTTTTCCTTTCTTTTTCCCTTCCCGCGTCTACACGCGCGTGGGACGCGTTATGCCTGCTTCGCCGAGCTTCGCTGCCACGATGTGGCATGAGTTGAGCGCCGGCGAAGCCTCGATGGCTTCTACCTTCATTTGTCGGCCCGCTCGCTCAATTCGCACGATCGAACCAACGTTACGATGTCATCCGAACCACTGTCAAGCCCTTCCCCGTCGAACCGGTCAGATCTGATTGGGCGTGTGGAGTACTCGTCTTTACCACCCGCATCATCCCAAGGAACCTCGTTGCCGACGACTCCATCACCTCGTCCTCGCGGTACTGCTGTCGACTTTATACAAGTAGATTGGACGCTCTGGGGCCGCCAAGAGTGGGCGAAATGGCCTGGATTCGAGCGCTATACTGGCGGCCAGGATACGAGGGCGTGGTGGCAGCAATACGGGTATCGTGTTGAGGACCGGTCCACCTCGCGCCAGGGCAACAGGCTGAAGTGGATCTGCGCGGATTGCTTCGCCCGAGGCTTCAAGAAGAAGTCAGACTTCTGCTTCGTCTGCTCAACAGGAGCCGCTACCAAGAAGCACCTTCGTAACGCCCACGGAATTCTGGTAAGTGTGTGCCGTTCGGAGATATACCAGCAACATGAGTGTTCACTTGGCAGGCCCCACACGACGTTGCCGGAGGCGTGCGAGCCTCATCTCTAGATGGCCGGCCCATCACCCACTTCATTGGTGCCGACTTCAATAATCCGCACGACCAGTTCCTTGTCAGCAAGCTGCGTGGAAGATTCAACAGCAAGGGGCTCCGGGTGCTCCTACTCGACTGGATCACGTACCATAATCTGCCATTCGATATCGTCAACACCGAGAGGTTCCAACGGCTCCTTCTCTACGGCAATCTGCTCCTTGATGCGACCCATATACCCTCTGGGAAGACGCTACTTCGCATGCTCGAATCTGAATACAGAGGTGCCGTCGGGCCCGTAACGGAAGTACTTCGCACCGCTCGATCACAGGTTCACTTCTCCTTCGACGGCTGGTCATCCAAGTCCTACACCGCATTTCTGGGCATCAATGCTCAATTCATTGATCACGACTTTGCCCAACACCGCATCCTCCTTGGGCTGCGACCTCTCTCGGGCAAACACAACGGTGCGTCGCTTGCCGATGAGGTCGCCGATACACTGGCATTCTGGCAAGTCAACAACCCAGACACGGTCGGCTACTTCACGCTGGACAATGCTGCCAACAATGACACCTGCATGGAAGACCTTGCCTTTGAGCACGGCTTCTCACCCGAAGAGCGACGGATCCGCTGCGCTGCACATATCCTCAACCTCTGTGTGCGGGCAATGCTGTACGGTTCGAAGCAAGAGAATTTTGCTGCAATTGTTGCTGCCGATGGGGACGATCTAGATGACGAGGAGGAGCAAGTTGATCAAGCTATCGACGAGGCCCTAAATGGAGAGATGAAGGACGGTACGGACGAAGACCCAGGAGCAAACACTGCCGTTGACATCCCAGAAGAGGACCTCACATCGTCTCACCCGGCTCCGGACGAGATCAATGCTGCCAGCTTCAGGGAGTACAGTCAGAACGGCGCCCCCGGAATGCTTCATAACATCGGTCTTCAGCTGCGAAACACACAGCTGTACGAACATTTTCTTCAGTCTCAACGTAAGGAATCCGGCCACGGAACAACACTTCACTGGGCCTTCAACAATGCCACCCGGTAGAACCTTGGACATGCGTATGATGGAACGGGCTCTTCGACTCCGCCCGGCGCTCAATACCTTCCTCAATGACGTTCAGAACCGGTGGGAAACGGAGGGCCTCTGTGACAGAACGAAGCAGGCAGTTCTGCAGTACCGCTTAAGTGCGTACGACTGGAAAGTTATCGAGGTACTTGTCAAGCTTCTGAAGCCGTTCGAGATTTCCACCAAGCAACTTCAGGGCAGTGGTGTTCCCGGCGGTAGGTCCACATGTGGCAGTTTCGATGAATACTTCCCGTCTTTGAGATTTTGCTTGACCACCTCGAAAGTGCTATCGAAGGCACAATCTTCGAAGAGGTTGAGGATCCAGTGACTAGGAGAAGAAGGACGTCGAAGTAGCCATTTATGACGGGCTCGATAGCAGGACCCGCAGGTTGCTCAAGGTCTATATCAAGCTCGGATGGAAGAAGCTGCATAAATATTACAGCCGTCTGACTAGCGCTGCATATGTCGGGGCTGTTGTCTTCAATCCTGCGAAAAGTGGCGCCTTCTCGATCAACTGTGGTCTCGAGTACCCTCTCGGAAGACGAAGAGTTGGCGGTTGGAATACGAAGCAAAGCTCTTGGAGATCTGGGAGAAGTATAGGGAGCGCGACGTTGACAACGAGATCCTCGCTACGTCTGATGAGGCCTCCATGGATTACATTGAGCGGAGACTTGCTAGGACTGTAGCTGCGCCGCCATTCAACCAGGGCTCGTTCGGAGCATCAGGTGCCCGCAAAAGCAACCGAAAGACGAAACCGTCTACGGCGGGAGCGACTGGTGATGACAAATATGCTCGATATTGTGCCGAGGACGTCGTCAACAGCCGCCACTACAGAAGCAGACCGATTGACTGGTGGAAGATCAACCGGAGCCGATATCCGCGACTGTCTCTGATGGCAGTAGACATGCTTACGATTCCATCGACGTCCGCGGAAAGCGAGAGGACGTTTAGCAGCGCAGGACGTATGACGGCACCATTGAGAAGCCGGCTGCGGAGGGAGATCGTAGCGATGGCTCAATGCATTCGATCGTGGAGTAAAGCTGGGATCTACAGGCCTTCACTGCCGCTGTTTAGCCTCAACGAGGATCAATGGATTGATGCTCTTGCGTCGCTGAAGGGCGGAGTGACATTTAATCAGCTTGACAAGACAGCAATTGACCGTGCTTTCGACGTCTCATCTGCTGCAGCCATGATGTCTTTACACCCCTTGGCACTTCTTAAATCGAGGGATGTAGGAGTCCTCGTGATGGTGACAAAGACATGTATGATGTCGGTGAAACGCACGTTTGGTACCCCAATCTCTGCTGAAGTCCTACGTTCGATCGAATTCGTATCGAATTCGATCGAACCTTGGCATTCGATAGGTATCGAATCTACGGGACACGCGTTCGATTCGAGTCGAATCAAACGGGCAAGAAATTTCACGCGTTCGATTCGATGCGAATCTACTGGGGACACATTCGATTCGAGGTCGAATCGAAGGGGCAACAATTTTCACGCATTCGATTCGATGCGAATCTGCTGGAGCCATGTTCGATTCGATGCGAATCTGCAGAGGCCCTATTCGATTCGAACGCCAAGTCTTGGCGTTCGATTCGATAGATTCGTAAGATGTCCGTCCCTGTCACTGACCCTCAAGCCCGGCCACCGCCCAACCGCTGTGATCTTCAGCATCACTGCAGCGTCAAATCTAGTCTCGGGTTGCCCTGCCGCCACGATATCTTCAGACGCCTCAAGGATGCTGCTACTGCTGGCATGGGTGTCCGTGGCGCCGTTCCTTTCGAGTTGACTGACGTTGACGAGTTCTGGCATCGTCATCGGCGTCAAGGCTTGAGCCCTGACGCCGACGCTCCACTCGATCCACTGCCTGTACGCGGGAAAGGCCGGCCGAAAGGCTCATATAACCTCGAGAAAGGTGCCCGCAGCACAAGGCGGGAACCCTCTGCACACGAGATCGTTGAGGGCATCGAGAGTTCTGAGGCTGCAAGGCCACCGCCGTCGACAGCGCCGGCCGCACTCACAAGCACAAAAAAACGCAAGGCTGACAGCAAGGGTGCCGTCAACACCACCGCCAACGCCGGTGATATGACGAGACAGGCGTTAGAATACCTTCACGCCAACGGCGATTCATATGAGCCGGGCACAGAGATGCCCCGGGCATATCAGCGGCGCCGCACGCCTGAGTCTGACGATGAACTTGCTGGCGAGACCCAGGGCACAATCTACTGTCATCAGGCCACACAGCCGGCCACCCAGTGGAACACACAGCGAATGACGATGCCTTCAACCGGTCGTTATAGAGAGGACACTGAGGATGACCCTGTGGCCAATTTTGACAAGATGGAAGAAGAGGTAGACGAGGAAGAATGTATACAGCAAGAATTGGCTGACGAGGGCCTCTCATAGCCACTAGCAGTGCCCGTAACTTAAAATTGAAAGAGGTGCGGTTCTTTTGCAACATCAATTGTGCGCGCCGAGATTGTATGTCAGGAGCGCGCGCAAAATTGGTAGGGGCGCGCTCTACCGCGATCAGCCACAGTCCCCGCTTTTTTGGTGGATGAAGTGGTGGATTGATAACTACTCGTGCCCGCCCCCACTTTGGGATTCGCTTTGGCTCACCCACACAAGTGGGTGCTGATCACCCAAATGAACAGAGCATCCGAATGAACAAAATTCTTCATCTTCAACTTCACATCCTTGCATCACCCACAAAGACGATGGATGCCACGGTTTCGCCCGTCGAAATGCGTCTGAAAGCCGCTCTAGATCATGTTGAGCGCTTTCCTGACTCCAAATTGGCCAAGGTGGCCCGAGATTTTGACGTTCCGCGACTGCGCCTCCGACGTCGCCTGGAAGGCCGCGGACCTAGAAATGGGAATCCCGAATTCCACACCAAGCTGACCAAGGCTGAAGAGACGGCATTGTGTAGGTACATCGATCGTTTAGACAATATCAACTTGGCTGTGCGGAAGGAGTTTGTTCAGGACACCGCCAACTGCATCTTGAAGGCACGTGCTTCCAAGAATGACAGAAGCCCACCTCAAGTCGGCTTGAAATGGGCTGGACGTTTTATCAAGCGGCATGGTTACAATCTTTTCCCCTCAAAAGTCTTAGATGCCAATCGACAAGCATCGGAAGATGTCGAGATGCTCAACGAGTACTTCCAGAAGCTTCGAACTGTCATCGAAGCCAATGGGATCGTCTCAGAGGATATCTGGAATATGGACGAAACCGGATTCCAGATCGGTGTCGGCAAAGACCAACTTGTGGTCACAAGGAGGAGGCGGGCTCAGTACTTCGGTTTACCTATAAATCGAGAGTCTGCGACGGCGATTGAGGCTGTCTCGGCCGGAGGGAAGGTCATCCCGCTTTTCCTGATCTTATCTGGACAAATGCACATGAGTCAGTGGTACCAGGTTAAAGAGCTTGAAGGAGATACGGTGATTGGGACGTCGCCCACCGGCTACTCCAACGATCGTCACAGTTTGAGCTGGCTCAAGCACTTCGATCACCACTCGAGGAAAGAGACAGTGGGATCGAAGAGGCTATTATTGATGGATGGCTACAGCTCGCATACGACCAAGGAGTTCATTCAGTATTGTGATGATCACGATATCATTCCTTTTGGTTACCCTCCTCACTCGACGCATCTTGTTCAGCCGTTGGATGTTGTGGTCTTTCAGCCCTACAAACATTACCATGCGAAGGCACTAGATCTCGTCGTGCGAGATGGAGTCACGAACATCACCAAGCTTGAGTTCTTGGCATTGATACAGGGGGTCCGCAGCCTGACGTTCACAAAAACCACTATTCAAGCCGCTTTTCGGGAGACTGGTATCTTTCCGTTCAACCCACGAAAGTTTCTCGACAAAGTCGCTCGCCGTCGACAGTTGACACCACCCAACCCTGCTCCAAACGGACCACATTCGTCGCCGTTCCGCACGCCTGTCACCTTGAGACAAATGAACAAGGTAGCGTCGGAGATCAAGGACCAAATGAACTCGTTTCCCAACTTGAATGATGAGTTCAAGGACAATATCGACAGATTTCTCAGCGGAGCCTTGGCTCAGGGAACAGAACTCGTCCACACTCTGAGGGACCTGGGGCGCACACGATTGGCCGAGCAAACCGCTCAACGCCGTCGGAGCATGAAGAATAAGCAGCTGCAGTCGGGAGGAGTGCTCACAGTGGCCCAAGCACGTGGCATGGTGCAAGAAATGAGGAATGACGAGTTAGCGAGGGCTCGACGAGTGGTTGAGCGAGCGGAGAAACAGCACCAGAACGGGTGCAAGAAGTGGTTTTCGGAGGCCGCAAAAATATCCAGAAGATGGAGAATTGAAGGCAGACTACAGCCAATGTATGTAATTGACAATCCTGGCTCTGGGCGTTTACTGCGTCGAGCTTGAACATCAAAGAGTCAAATTTCTGTTCATTCGGATGCTCTGTTCATTTGGGTGATCAGCACCCACTTGTGTGGGTGAGCCAAAGCGAATCCCAAAGTGGGGGCGGGCACGAGTAATCCATAAGTTTTTTCCCAATAATGAGGCTTTGGTGCAGACAGGGGTCAATAAGTTTCCCGGGTTCTGATTGGCCTAATCTTTGTATGGACGGCCGCAAAACGTGCAACAACTGGACGACGGCTCTTAAAAAGTGGGACCCAGCTAGCAGGCCCCCCTGGTTTGTTTATGTCAGAACAACGGGAGCAGGGGTCACGTGCGATAGGGAGATAAGCAGATGGATGACTCATTGGACAGAGCCAGAGAGACCCCAAAAAGGGGCCCCCGGGCGCGCCGCTGAGAAGAAAACACACACAGACAATACACACATCTCTGCAAGCCTAATCGGCCTGCACTCCCACATACGATTGTTCCACTGCATCACAACTGTGCATTTCCTATTCAGGATCACCTAGAACCTTCGGTTCTGACAGTTTACTAGGAATGTGCTTCACATGGAAACTTCATTCACGCAACGCCTTTTCACGCCTTGCTTCGATAAATAATGAGCCCTAGGTCTACTTATTCAGGGGTTCGATGCTCGGCGCGGCTGCTGCTCCTGACGACAAGGCGGGCAACCTTGCGAAACAGGTCCCTGTATGCATTGGCGCCCGTCTGATGCTGACGTCCAACCTCTGGCAACAAGTTGGCCTTTGCAATGGCGCTCGCGGAGCAGTGTACCACATTGCCTGGGCGCCTGGAGCTGACCCCATCCAAGACCAACCCTGTGTTATCATGATGGAGTTTGACAAGTATAGCGGACCGGTACTCCTGACCACCGCCGATGGCAGGAAGGTTGTGCCGATTCTACCAGTGGAGAGGGACTTCCTCTTGACCGGCCCACAGACTCGCAGCTTTCGGCTGGTTGTACATCTTGCACCACTGCCCTAAAGTGCAAGGTGTGACGTAGTATTTTAATAATAAGTGGGTGCTGATCACCATCGCGGACAGATCACCAAAACGGACACTTTTCTGCAATACCTCCTTTCCAAGACGCGTATATACGGCAAAAATGGCCAAATCTCGCGATTCTACTGTCGAATTACGTGTAGAGAGGCTTTGGGGTACCTAGATGCGCACCCGGGTGCGAAGCCTACAACTGTCGCGCGACAGTTTGCAGTTCCTCGCGCGCGACTCCTCCGCCGCATTGACGGCATCTTTCCTCGCGCCGGTAATCCTGCAATAAATACGAAGCTCTCAAAGCCAGAAGAAACGGCACTCTGTCGGTATATCGATCGCCTTGATCGTATCAACTTACCTACCCGAAAAGCGTTTATTCGAGATACTGCCAACTACATTCTCCGAGCTAGGGCCTCGCGCGCGGAGCAGGCCGATCCTCCGATCGTCGGCAAGAAGTGGGTGGATAGGTTCATCAAACGGCACAAATACGACATCGTGCCATCTCATGTATTAGACGCTAATCGGCAAGCCTCTGAGGATCCGGAGGCTATAAATGCTTGGTTCTTGAAGTATAAGGCGATAGTGGCAGAGCACGGTATTGTCGCAGACGATATATGGAATATGGACGAAACAGGGTTTCAGATCGGCGTTGGAAAGGATCAAATGGTCGTTACCAAACGGAGACGAGCTCATTACTTCAGCCTTCCTACAAACCGCGAATCTGCTACGGCGGTCGAGGCGATATCGGCTACCGGCCGAGTTATTCCCGTTTTCCTGATTTTGTCAGGCACGATGCATCTGGCCAATTGGTACCGGTTGGAAGAGTCAATAAGGATACGGTTATTGGTACTTCACCGACCGGCTACTCGAACGACGAGCTATCGATGGCTTGGATCCAGCACTTCGAGGCTTATACCAAAAAAGGGGCTGTTGGTAGTAAGAGGCTGCTTTTGATGGATGGATACGGGGAACAGCGCTAGATGCTGCACCGCCGCCCTTTGCACCGTTAGCCGGGCCACGGGCCGCGTCGCCGTCCGACGGTACGCCCTCCGCTTTGCTATACGTACCTCCGATGACATGACTCCTCGTCTTCCTCGCCGAACTCCTTACTGAGGTACCCGTCTAGGCGTACGCTCGCCCCCTTACCCGGCCGTCTGAGCACTTGCGCCCAGTCCTTCCCCGGAGCCCAGCTCTCGTTAAAGGGTATCTCGCCCCAGGCCGCGCAGCCCTCGGCGCCTCCGCCATTCCGTTTCAGCCTTACGAGCGACGCGTAGTCGTAGAGACAGAGGCCCTGTAGGAGCCCGCCTCTATGCCGGTAGGCCTCGATGAAGGAGATCCTCGGCCCCGCCTCCTCGACGACGACCGTCTCGTCCGGCGCGTCGCTCGCCGTCGCCTCTACCCCGCTCGCCAGTCGGAGGTGCCGCCACTGGCGGAAGACGGCCCAGTAGAGCTGGTTCGTGTTCACGTACGCCCACGCCGCGCCGCTGCAAAACTCCGCGGATACCCCAGGAGGTCGGCGATCACCTCGACCTGGGATAGCGGGCGCTCCGTGAAGATTCGGTTCGCCGCCTTTAGTAGGAATACCCTCGTCTTGTTCCCCTTATAGGGTCCGCCGCGGCCTCCTCTCCGGCTCCGTTCCCCCCGCTATCGTTGCGGTCGGCGCTGGGGATACTGCTCTCTGCTGTCGGCTCTAAGGTCGGGAGTAACTCGGCCGCGGCGGCCACCCGCTTCCACGTAGGGTCCTCTACCTTAGTCGCATAGTTGGTGATGTAGTAGATCAGGGCCATGGTCTTGCGCTGCGTCGCGATGAACGAGATGTCGTGGTTGTGCCGCAGCCCTACCGCCATCGCCTTGTTCCACCGGTTCACCATGCTATGTGTCCGCCGGATCTCCAGCACGCCGTCCGCCGTATGCACGTGACCATTTGATCACGTGTACGGCTGAAGCCCCTGAGGCCCCTTAGCCAAGGTGGCCTCTCCCTCCCGAGATAGAAGAAAAGACGAATACAACAACAACACCGGTTAACCCCATCTTTGCATGCAGAGAAGCCTACCAACAAGAATCATCATTTTTGGACTAGCCTTAGTCTTTCACCTTCCCTTTATTGGGGCGACTGTCTGGCAGTCCAGGCTATCCGGCGTTGAATATTGGTGGGCTGCTCCAATGGTGTCTCACTTGGTTACCGTTATTATGGTTATGGCGATATGGAGGAAGACACAGTCTTTCCGTCGTTTTGACCGGCACTCTAACCAGCCTCAGCCAGAGCAGCCGACGTCAAACCAGGGGATGCCGTGGCTTGGAGCAGTGAGCGGATTAGTGTTCCTAGCATCATCTGTGCTCCTGATATGTTCTGTGACTGGTTGGGTGAGACACCAGTTTGGAGGTCAGTGTGGACTTTGTCTGGTGATTTTAATCGTGCCAGCAGTACCTCTGGACAGTATGATGAGAGAGCACCAGAGGAAACGGGTAGACAGAGAGATGCAACTGTCTGTGGTGACAGACCCCGGTACTGAACGGTCGACGGAGCACCTGGTATTATCCTGAGGGCACTGAATCAGACAGACGGTAATTACATCACTGTCCGCCCTCTGCCTACGGCTACTATCTTCAATTTAAGCGTCCCAAGTTTGGGCCACACGCAGATGCCGCATTGAGGTCGTGCAAATGCTCACAATAATCCTTTAAAGTTGGAAGCGCGACGCAAAGGTGCCTTCCAAAGCATTAAAGGAGGCCATGCTTTCCGCGTAAATTATCTCGTGCGTAGGATCTTCGGTTCAGTTACACTCTCCTCGACCGAACACCTACATACGTTAGTTCACGGAAATTTCCACCAGTCGTCTGAAAGACATGTCCCAAAGAAAGGCTTCCTCGGACTCGCAGAAGGGTTCGCTAAGGACAACCGGCTCGTCTCTCCCTAATATCTACGCTGTAGACAGTGTCCAGACGTCCAGACATGCTCAATTTACCTCCGCAAATGAAGTATCAATCGGATTCCAAACTCTGGGGGGCCACGAGCTCGCCGCGAACGACTACAGTTCTGATGGCAGTGAAAGCGGCGAGCCGAGCATGAAGTGGCGGTTGTTCCAGCGTACGACACCCCAACCTAGGGAAGGCAGCGACAATCACTCATCACGCTTATGGTGGAGAGTGCAAGAAAGCAACAGTCAATCTCAGACAGGGGATTTAGCGAGGAGCCTCGATTCAATTTTCTACATGCTCAAGTCATATGCGACCGCGGGAAAACCCGGGCAGTTCTATCGCCACGAACGACTCGCCGCAGTATGCTCACGGCCGAGTTGACCAACTCACTTAGAATTGGACTCGTGTTGGAAAGGCAACAGGGGGGACTCACAACCGACGCCGTCTTGGATCATCGACACGCATCGCATGATTCGGTGGCCCGAGGGCAACTCCCCGACAAGTCTCGCATGAAGGCGAGCGAGGATGCAAATGCCAGCTTGTGGAACCAACGTTTCCTGGAGGATGTATCTAGAGACTACTACCATTCTAAGGGCTGGTGAAGATAGGAGAATTCAACACTCCTCTACGACCAGTCGCTTGCTCCTCGAAATTTGTGAATCCGCTGTCGCTTGTGCTTTTTTCCATGACTTTGCCATCTTCGTCCAGGCGATCGACATTCTGTATCCACACTTCCGATTATCTCGTCATGGTCGCTTCGCTCGTATTGCCTGGTGTGTCGTGACGAGCCCGAAGGAGAAGACTGAGAAAGGCTGATAGTAATTCTAATAGGCTTGTAGAGAGGGAGGTCAAGTTCCATCTCAACCTGTTTGTCTTGTCCGTTCTCGACGGTACCGCTGGCCTCTACTCGATGGCAAGTATCGGATACAGTGACTCGAAAAACAAGCCCAGTAGGAGGACGATTCTCCTTGTCATCGCCGTAAGAGGAAGAGTAATCACTCTCTTCGAGATCGCTAGGTGCAAACAAAGGCTGTGTCTTTGGTGTAGGTGACACTGCAATCTCGTCTTGCAGATATTTGTCTCGACAGCTTGTGCCGTTGAACTGACTTTCGGTATCCGAGAATTCTGATGTGGGCAAGGCAGGACAAAGAAGCATATCGAGAGCACGAAGATGACCAGTTTGTCCACAGGCAATCGATTCAGTGGAACTTATATTCCCCTGCATTGTCGAGGTAGAGTCAGTCGACATGGCGGGAAGGAGGGCCTTGTTGGCTTTCAGAGAGGTGCAAGAAAATGGGAGGTATGGAAACCGGGACAAAGGGGGGTGGTGCCTACCTCCTTCACTTTCTACACGAGTATGAGACGGGCTGCCTTGGTCGGGATGAGAGCTCCAGCGAATCATCCAGAGAATCCCCAAGGCGCAGCTTTGGCCATCTCACCGCACATATCGTCGGGTGGGATCATGCGCCTTCCTCCACTTCCGGGCTGTGGTCCGTTGTTGCTTCGCTGACGCCTGCCGGCCACCCCTGAGATGGTTTATGCGTCTTTGACCAGGTTCAGCTTCTGCATCTATGCGCCGATCACATCCGCTAATGCTGCAAAATTACGAGGAGCCAACTTCTCTGTAGGCGCAGGGGGGCGAACCGAATCGTGCAGACTATTCCGCAGCCTCCCCTGCGCCGGCCCCCGGGGGCCCGGGGCTCAGGGAGGGAACGGGAGGCAGGACTTGTCCGTTAATTTCTCTTCCCTCGTCGTTGACCCAATGTATGACAATGTACATGTGCATGCCTGGGAAGTGTCGGGGGTGGCGAAGCTTGCAGCGGAGGGAGCCTGATGCGTTTTTGCGTGTCCCTACGCACACTGGGGCGTTGGGCACGGCACCAAGCATCAAGGACACCGGCTGCCGCACGCACAGCCATGTGAACAGGCAGCCATGTGAACAGGCAGCCGTGTGAACAGGCAGCCGTGTGGACAGGCAGCCGTGTGAGACAGGCATCCGTATGTGGCTGCCTTGTAAACCGGCCGGATCACCTAGATAGTCCGACCTGGCTGCCTCCTACATAAGGATGAGGCAGTCATAGCTTAGTTGGAGAGATAAGAATCCCACTTCATCTCATCCATATGCAAAATGCATCAGAGCCTCGCGACAAGGGAGGAGGGCTGCCCACGTCGGCATCAACTTCGGGAAGAAGACGGCGACCTTCGCGAGACCTACATTTCTATCTAACGAGGTAGCAATACTTCGCAATATATGAAAATTAGCCGGAAGTCCAAAGGAGCGGCTCTAGAGAGCCGTCAGGACACCCTTAGGGTGGGAAAACGAGACATCGCGATGTTTATACACTCAGCTTGTTAGACGCCACCATAGACTGCTGGTTTGTATGATTACCTGTCCGGCTTTCACGTCGTGTTTCCCAGCTCTGCTACCAACTCCGTCTTCCATTCATACCTTGACTCAACACTCGACTTCTAGGTCGTGAGTATCTTGCGGTACTTACGTCTTACACGCTACCTATAGGCACATGCGAGAGCTTGTGGTAGCGAATCTAATCGAGACAATGTCACAACCTCAGCGTCATCTTTTCGACTCCTACGCAAGTGCGAAAGGCTCTCGGCCCAACAACAACCCAACCTATACGCCGAAGCCACGACAGCTGCTCCAAAGCCCGAGCGCCAGGACGATAGTAAGAACGGCTTCGTGATATTTCATGGCGCCAGCGAACCTTTGGCTGATGTGAATGATACAGGAGACTCGGGTAACGCTGCGGGCGAGTCGAACAATGGGACTGAGCGCAAGCCCAAGACGGCACAGATCGAAGAGGCCATGAAATCTCAATCCAAGGGCCTCCGTCAGACATCCAGTCGTTTACCCGGCACATACTGAGGTCCCTACCGTCGCCTTCCAAACAATTATCTTTGGTATCATGCGGCAACTTTTCAAAGAGATTGAAGAGAATTCAGAGAGAGCACGCGTATTTGCGCAAGCGTGCTCATCAACACTATCACCTCGAGATCTCCAGGCGATTGCACAATTCCAAGGACAGCTTGGATCCTCAGACACACTCGGAGGAGACCCTCCATACCCTGTGGCCGAGAACATGGAGATTTCTCGTCGGTATGTCCTCTACGAGGGCGGCTGTTTTGATCGCGAGGACGGAGAACGCATTTGTAAGTTCTCCCAGAAGCAACCTTGATTGGGAACTAACCTAAGTAGCGACAGCTTTTTCAAGCTGTTGAGAATATAGCGAAGGAAATGAACCTTGTAAAACTGAAGAGATATGCGAGTGAAAGCTTGAGAGATATGGACGAAGATGCCACGGCGAGAACGAGCATGTAATAATATAAACTCGTCTTCTAACACTGGCTACTGCTACCTTGCGCCGTAGCTACATTGCCGTACGCCGTCGCAGTAGAGAACACTACAAAATAGATCATTGACATTAAAGTTGGAGGTCGCCTGTCTATGACCTCTTTTGCGGAATTCGCGAGGAATCCTGAACCACTAAGCATTCCGCGCCAGACAATGTCACACTCTCCATTGTACTTCGTAAGTCGCTGCCCCTCGATCGGCTGGGGTGGACAGTCAGCGAGGCGCATGAGGACGTGTAGTTATTTGAGACGCCGAAATGCATATCCAACCGTCACCTGTCCAAATATCCGTGAAGGCTGCAAGGGCTGCGCCATGGTTTGCATGCGTCTCGAGTAGGTATAGAAGGATTGGAGCCGCTGGAGCAATTCTTCCATCTCTTCCCCCCAACTCTCTTACACGCTCACAGATATTCTACTTGGAGACGCTTATTTTACAATCCTTTCCCGTTCATTAGTCAGGAGGGTGGCCCCAAACAAGCTTGCAAGCCAAATGTCAACCCTCGCGGTAAGTGACATCAACCCAGGTGATACCGTAGACTGGAAGGGCCTTAACTAACAGCAGAGTCCCTTTCTCTTTCTCTGCTCTAGCGCGAGAACAAATTAGCCGAATTCGAGACAACCAGAGGAGATCGCGCGCTCGACGGAGAGTATGTCCAGGACCTCAAACGGCGACTCAGAGAATACGAGACTCAGGGCATCGAGGCCTCTACCGAGGTCCAGATGGCCGCGAGAAGAGTAGCCGAGGAGAACAAGCAGCTCAGGAGCTCCTCAACAGGCATGGCATTAGCGACGACCAAATAGCCCGTTTCTTGCAGTCGGGCACCTTGCCACTTGATTCCAACCAAGGCCAAACCTTTCACGCCGACGACCCTACTGCCGCTGTCCAGTCGCTGCAACGGCTCCTGATGCCGCGACAACTGGCCAGTCTAGATGAAGACTTCTCCCTATATTTGTCGGGACAGTCGATTCGGAACCCTCCACCACCGAGGGTCGACGACAAGTTCGTCCGTCTGGGAGCCGTCGCAGCTCGTGACGTCCTCGTACGGCTATCAACATCACATGGGCGTGGCTACCGCAGTCATGGCATCGGCTGTTCATTCTCCGTATCCACCGACAACCCCATTGAGTCGCGCGAGCACCACGCGACAAGGCTGCGTCTATGGCGGGCAACCGTCCCCTTCGATGCACGACAGTCCCGGCCAAGCCATGGTAACAACACAGCCTACGTCTACTGGCGGCCGTACGGTAATGCACTTGCATTATTCTGTGCCGACTTATCCAAACGCAGTGGTACCGCATTATGATTCCCTAGGAGCACCTGCTGACACGCGTTGACGAGGGCCTGCAGGGCGTATCGCCGATTCCATTGGTTGTTTTAAATATATATTGAAAATTGGCACTGTTGGCCATGCCCTTACCGATTCACTAAAGCCTTTTGATATCCTTCTGTCGGTGGACCAGGGCAGCCCTGTTAGGGAGGGACCCGGAGAGGGGATTCCTGGCCCATGTAGCAGGAACGCATGAGGACTTCCTGAGTAAGGAAGGCAACCCTTTATGCGTGGGCACAGCCAAGTATGCATGGGTAGAGCCCCGTACCCAGGAGGTCTCCAGAACTCCCTAAGGCCTCCTGTATAAATAGCCCCTTCAGACTGCCCCTTTAGAGATAGAACATGCATCTTGAATCTAGCTGTGGTGACCCCCTTATTCCGATGTGTATTGACACAACATTTCACCAACACCGTCATATAAGAGTAGAACAGACTTCCCGATTCCCTCTCGAGCTTCTTTGTAGCCCCTGATGTGAGCTCCAGCAAATCATCTCGTGAGTCACAGCAATGCGACTCTAGCCGTCTAGTGGCATCTATCTGCCCGGGTTACTCATGCGCCTTCCTCCTCTGTCGGAACTGTGATCTACTAGTGCTTGGCTGATGCCTGCGAGCCGCCCCTAAGAGAGAATGCCTAGCGATTGGCCTTACTCTTTGGCCACCCTTCCATCAGATAATGCTTGCATCCTTGGCTGGAACACCGTCAGATTCTGCATCTATGCGCCGGTCATCCCCTCTCTAACGTCATCAGCAAGCCAACTACCAAGCAAGAGTAGGGACAGACTTCCAAAGTGATTAGGTAGTCTTAGGTCAGACTAGCCCACAGGATCCCCCGTAGTGAGGGTCAGGGGGTGGACCCGAGGCAGGATCACGCGTTGATCTCTACTCCCTCAGCTTAGTCTGAAGCAGGGCAATATAGATTGAAGTAACGGAAAGTGGCGAGGCTTGCAGGGAGGCTGCCTGCGTGGCAAGGGGCGGGATGCTCACGTCGGGATTAACAGCTTCAAGGAGCAGGTCAAGTTGGTGAACAGGTGGTTGCACGACGTGATGGTCACATTGCGTCTCCAATCTGCAAGGCATGGTCGGTCGCGTCTCGAGAGGATTCGTAGGAAGGAAGGTCGGCCCCAGGGTCGTGCCGGGAAGCCGGTATGACCAGAGGGCGGTCTGAGGGCGGTCTCGACTCGGGCTAGAGCCGGCGTAGCTACCCGCTCCGTGGTGTCGTTGGCTGGGATATTTAACGCCGGGGAGAAGGGGTGTAGGGAAAGTTTGCAATGGAGGGCGTGGAGAGGTGCTAGACGATGAGGCCGGATTCTGGCCACTTGATGCACCTCATATTGCCTTGTTGCTCTAGCCTGTAGCATCAGCGAGATATATCCTGCACGGCTGAATGAAAAGAGATGTGTAAGAGGCTGGGGAAGGCGAAATTGACAGGGAAGGATGGCTGCGATGGGAACCGCGTTGCCCATATCGGCACAACGGGAGTAAGAAGTAGTACCTCAATGAGACATGCGTTACATTTGGGACAAGAACTGGGCGTAATGGTTGGAGTTGTTGGTTACTTCCAATCATCCAGCCAGCCCCTGACGACCGTGACGCGCGCACTGCAATACAACCGTGGTTCTCTCAAGTCAGGAAGCTTTGCCTCGCCAGCTCTGTTATCATCCACTCGCCATCGATCGCAGGCTTCATTTCCCACCTCCGTTATTTCCAAATTTCACTCTACTATGTGCTATATATTTTGAGCAAAATATGACAACATGGCACGACAAGGACGGCGACAACAAAACGACGGAAGAAAGCCAAAGCGGATGCGGAGCAAATCTTCTCAATTAGGGCTCCAGGAAGACTACAGGCACCTCTAGATGTGCTGATGGTCTATTCGACGAGGATATGGACGTTCAAGACGGACTTCCGCCTTGTCATGGTCCGAAGTTGCATCCCTCTGCAGTCTGCACTCGCCAACGCATCGATCACCTGTAAAGATATGCTCGATGACCACTTGGAACCATATTCGGGCCACTCTGAGATCACGGCACATGTTTTCAAGGTTGAGATCGAGTCTGACCACTACGCTTTGAAGGTGGTAAGTAGTGGTGAGGAGCCGTGGCAGCTCGAGAGGTTAACTATGCCTTAGTTTATGCCGTACGATATTTCGTATGACTACCACCAATTTTACACTGCGGGTATCCGCTGCACTGAAGAAGAGTTGGAATGGCATGTTATGCCCTTTTACTCAGAATGCCGCGCATACAGTCGCATCAAGCAGGCGCAAGACAGGCGATTACTGCCGCATCAAGTTGCAGTTCCATGCCATGGCTATATCCGCTTGGAGGAAAAGACATCCGAAAACTGGAGGATGAGTGGAACCTTGATTTCAGTGTTGAACAGGGCAACGCCTTAAAGCACCAATCCGTCCGATCTGTGCCATTGTTAAAGATCTTGCAAGTGCAAGTTCCGGGGTCAATGCCAAAAGCTTGTTGCGCAAACTACGAGATTTATCATCTTTACACTCGATCGGGATATTTGTCCGTGACATCAAGTGGATGTCACAGGTCCGGCTTTGGTGGGCGGTCAGCGGATTACCCCGCAGATTACCGCCGATTACCCGCTTGCCCTTGACATCACCTCTGCCGGGTTGATGTCATCTTCGGAGCGCCATAAAGCGCGAAAGCCGGGACCGACGACGACAAAACCAGTTCGACTGGATAGCCTGCGTTTGTGCGATCAGAATGCACCCTGTCTAAGGTCCTACATCCTGTCGGTTGCGAGGTTGCGGTGATTTGAAGCATTTTCTAGCCTTGACGCGCTGGAGCTACAGCGGCGCTTAGCGGATGCATACCCTGTCTACAGGCCACTACCGCTGACTGTAGCGACGCAGCCCCTGACGGCCTGGGGGCACTTTCGCCGCCAAGGTCCTCGTCATTCTATCAGACGGGTGTTCAAAATCACTGCGCCATCGACTTTTCGCTACCACCGACGTTGAATTGCCCCGACGCACGTTTGTGTCCCTTTTCGCCTTGCCTGTCCTTTCGGATGGCCTTGAACAACTTATCCAAGAGCTGGGTCCACGTTCTTCGTCCATTTGCCTCGCCACGATATCTTCAGTTAAGCCGTCCGACTGGGCCCGCCTCCGAACCTCATCGACGATGATCTTGCGCGTGGAAAAGTAATTCTTCTCTGCAGATGGCCGCCATCGAGCACCCCAGTCTCGCTCAAGAGAATCCACAGAAGGCATTTCGCCCCAGCCCTGCCGCCAGAGACGCAGCAGCTCCTGTACAGATTTGACAGAACGGGGAGCTTGAAGCTCGGAGGTTCGCGCGGCCCAGGCGGCTCGCCATGCGCTCTTCCTGGGGGCTGGCCCGCTTGCACCATTCCCTGCTGCTGCTCTGAGAGCGGAGCGTATGTCGGACCGCCCGCTTGCGAAGGGCCTATCTCGGACCTGAGGACCGTCTCTCGTGGAGCGCGGCGCCTCTGTTGATGAGCTCCCGCGATCTCCGCATGTTGACCTGCAGCACCTTGGCCGGGGCTGAAGGTGACGGTGTAGGTGGCCTGCGCAAACTCATCCAACTTTGTGCATAGATCGGAAGAAGCCCCAAAGGTCTAGATGTCTTCGCTCAGCTAACTGCTCGGCTGCGACCTGTTGAGTCAGTACTGTGCGCAGCTTCTCCGCAACCACCGGGATCGCTTTTGAATGACCGTGGTATGGCTGTCTTCGTGGTCCCGTGTGCATGTGTCTTGAACTTTGCTGGCGAACGCTTCAAACTCGGGGCAAGAGAAGACCGGATCCTGAAAGATAGGATGGTCGGGGTAGGACTCGCGAAGGAAGACAGCGTCCTGCAGGAGCACCTCTCGAAGCCACTCCAGGAGTTCCAAGAAGGCGCCGGCGGCCATGTTCTGCTCCAGCTCTTTCCATTTGTCGAGTTGAGGCCAGACCTGCACGAGTAGCACCACAGGCGGCCTCACGGTGGCCAGGGCACGAAATAAGACCCCGACCATTCAGGGTCAAAGTCGGCCACGGCCCTCATGAATTCGAAGGCAGGAAGTCAGATAGCAGCCGGTCATTTGGTCTCCGTTATTCCAACGACCGGCTCGGCGGATCTGTATAGTTCAGGTCAGCCCAGGCCAGGGGTTGGCGGCTTGCCTAGGGCAGATGACATGCCTGGCCTTCATCCACTCCGGCCATGTCGGCGTTTTGCGTCGCCGCCACTCTAGGCGCGTGGCTGACCTTGGAGACCTTGATGCCGGCCTTCTTGTAGAACCTGGACGTCCATTCTCGGGCAGTCTGGCCCGACAACGGAGCTGTATATTCGGTGAGTGAAAGGGTCGATGCACCCTCTGAGTTATGGGATTCCGGTGAATGCCATCACGCTTACCTTGAGGCTCCTTCGCCGATCGGCGGAGCACCTTCGTTTCATACCAGTCTTCGCTTCTTTGGAAGACGGAAACCTTTCCGCCTTTTCTACCTGCCAGCGCCAGAAAAGCCAGAACGCGAGGGCGCCGATGAGACAAGATCGCGGATCTCGATGCCGCAAAGCAGATCCATACTCCATGCGGCCGTGCTGGTTGGTCTTCCCACAGTTCATCACGACAACCAGCGCCTTTGTGGTATACCCTGGGCCTTGAAGCCCTCGTTGGGTAAGTCAGGGAAAGCAGTCTGCCAACTCCATCGGCAGGCGGTTGCCGGACCGCAGCAGCATGTGGTTCCCGAGCAGAAAGTCCACCTGCGTCCTCAGGGCGCAGGCGATCTCTCTCTCGGACCATGCCACGTTGGTGTGGTCGGGTATCTGCGCCGGCGCATACACATCTCTCAGAGTTCCAACTCCCCTGTCCATGTATTCCTTCCTCTTCCGGCTCCAAGTCGTTGCAAGAATGCTGCGTTTGAGCGCCTTCAGTGCCACTATGGCCGGGCCGCAGGATTGACTCCCCGGCTCTTCTGCTCGTCGTAAAGCTTCTGTATGGCCGAGACGTAGCCCCGTACAGTATTATACTGTAGTTTGAGCGTGGACTCATACAACTCCAAGTCGGAGTCTGACTCGTATTCGCTACCTCCGCCGCCTACAACGATGGTATCTGCTGGGGGAAGCTGGGTGTTAGTATGATGGGCTGGCTCAGTCCGACGACCACATCCCGTGATCAACATCTGTTACCTGATGGTGCTCTGCGTCTTTCACGGCCCTCTTGGCTTCCTGAGCCTCGAGGTGTCGTTTTCTTTCATCGGCGACCCTCTTTCCTTTCTTTGGAGGACGTGATGCCACTACCTCCTTCATGAAGAGCAAGAGCTTTCCTTCATCGACCAGGTCTCCCGGTAGCTGTTGGCCCTGTGGTACCGAGGCCGGCCAAACGTCCGGGATCGCAGGCCAGTTGGCTTGACACCACTCCTGTGAGGCAGTCAATGCATGGATCTACATGAAGATTGCAGGGCGCGCATGCGGCTTGCCTTCCATTCTTCCTGCTTGGGACGATAATTTCGCTTCGTATTCTTCGGCTGGGTGTTCTCCAGATCTAACAGGTAGTGCTCAATGGCCGCCCTGACCCGGGGATCCTCTATCGCGTTTGACATGGTGCAGGCGGTCGCCGTCGCGACGGTGGCAATGGAGGAGGTGGTGGAGGAGGTGGGAGGAGGAGGTGGAGCGCAACGCGCGTGAGCGAGACCGAAATCGAAGGTCTCGCGCAGGGCCCCGGGCGTGGACCTTCGATTTTGCCGTCCGATGGCGGTAATCCGACTAAGAAAACGCCAGCCCCGCAGGGCCGGGCCTTCGAAAACGACATGGTTTTGCATGGGGCGGGGCGGTAATCCGATTACCGGATGACCGGTCAGCCGGCCCCGGGACCTGTGACACCAAGGAAGGTAACTATAGAGATGGGAAGCTTGTTGATTTTGGAGTTGCTTGGACTGAACCACACATTATATTGAACCACTATGGTGAACGTATGCAAGATGCAGTGGCGGAGAGAGTTGGGGATCTGGCGATGTTTGATGACATGGCCAGCACCATCGTCAACTTGAGCAAGGTCAGCGCCATGAGGAACTGGAACTACTGCCAGAAACCGCGCAGTCGTCGAAAGGGCTCAAACGAGTTCAAAATTTTATAGTGGCATGTAGCAAACATTGAGCTGACTGTTCTTTTTGATAAGAGAATAGATGTCGATGACTTGTAGAAGCAAATCCCGCCCAGGTGCAAGGTCGGACGAGCAGTCAAGAGTGACACGAAACGAACACAAGTCTCTGACAACAATTGCTGGCCCGCTGCACATTGATCCGGTGTAAAGCCTCCATGGTGCTGCAGCCAGTAAGCATTCGGAGTCAAGTGACATCCGCACGGGCGGCACGCATGGTGTGCCTGCCGGCTCCCACCAAACATGATTAGCATTCCCACGTCGGCCATCTCCCCCCTTAAGATACGTGTTGGCTATACTGTTTGCCTCAGACTCCAGCCTTGTGGTGAAAGACCAGGCACTATAAAGTCCAAGCCTGTCTCCGACTCAGGCTGCCTAGTCCATGTCACCCACGTCAACCCTTCGCCAGTCTTGAATCTCTTAACTACACCATCTCAGCCGTCTCCTGCACTGGTTCTCATCAATGGCCGATGAAGCTAGCCCTCGTACTGAGGATGAGCGAGCCTTTGACTTGGCCGACTACGCGGAAGGACTCCTCGTCACTGCCCTTGAATATGACTGCAAATTGTCGGGCCAGGGTGAAGGCAGTGAGCCGACCAGAATCCCTGCATTTACAACAAACAGCAAGAAGCCTTTGCATCCGGAGTGACACAAGAGCAGCAGAGGTCGGAATTCCCATATGCAGTAGCGCCATCTATCATGGAGCAACAACAGCCCGATTGCGGTCGATACTATGTATGTCTAGTGGCGGGATGCTCACAGGCATACATTGATGAACACGACTTGAGGTCCCATTCAAAAGTGTGCATTACATCACGTGGAGCACTCCGGAGCTTCCAAGGCCTAGGCGACGCTGAGAAACTACCTAAGTCCGTTTCCTAGTGTGGTGTGCGAATCGATCCCAACATATGGGAGTAGGGAAACAGATTGTGGCAAAGTAGGTGCAGAGCCAGTCGTACCTCCTCTTCGAGAAGCCACAACGTATATAGACTCGGCGAAAGCGATTCGGCTCCATTACGTCGGTTCCCGGTTTCCATGATATCCTATCTCGACGTTGCGGTCTCCTGCGCAAGGGACAAGCGACCCCTCATCAATGGCGACTACTGGGAGAAGCCCCCTGCCATCCACAGGTCGATCAAACTGAAGTACCAGATGCCGCGAGAAGGCTTCCGGTCCCGACTTCGACGCAGCGACCAGCTGCTGCCTTGCAGCAGGCGTTCAATTCTCCTCCCTCGCCGCTTCGGCGACGATCAAGCGCTGCCTCTGCAAACCGCCACGAAAGACCAGTCAGCAGCGGATTTCCGCAGTTGGCTCCGGTCAGTACCACCGCACACTCTGGTCGTCTACTCAGACGGATCGCTCTCCTCGGAAGCAGCCGTCGGTTATGGCTATGCCATCCATATGGATGGGCAAACCGTGCTAAGTGGCTGCGGCCGACTTGGGCCGGCTGAGGTTTTTGATGCGGAAGCGAAAGGCGCGCTCGAGGGCCTGCGCGCTGCCTAAGCCTCCACGACCGCAGAGAATAGTCGTTTGTCTCGACAACATCGCGGCGGCAACATGCCTCAGAGGCATGCCGGCAGACTCCTCCCAGGATGTCTTCCTCGAATTCCAGGCTCTGGCCACAGCACACGGTGTCACGGAGGTCCGCTGGACCCCCGGCCACACCAACATCCCCGGCAACGAGCAGGCCGATGCCTTAGCAAAGGCAGGAACCTCTCAACCCGAGCCCGCAGGCGCTATCCCAACACTGGCATATCTGCGCAGGGCTGCTAGGCAGCAGCCTAAAAGTGCATTTAAAGCCTGGTGGGAAGCCTCCGCACCCGAACAGTACAAGCCACTGCACCTAAGCCGACGACCGGCTGCCCCCTGGAGCTCAAACTCCCCCGACCGCTTCTCCACCACCTGCTTGCAGCCAGAACCCGTCACGGGGACTTTGCCGACTACCACGAGAGGTTCAACCACGACGATACGCGACTGACGTGCTCATGTGGCCGACGAAAGAGCCAAACCATGTCTTTTATTGCCGAAAGATCGAGCCGCGGCATCGGATGAGGCTGACGCCCTCACCGAATGCAGCAGTCAATCGCGCAATAGGCAGAGACTTCGACAGGTTCGTCAAGCTGGCGAAGGCGTCCTCCTTCTTTGAATGGGCTTGCCCTCGCCACTAGGCGGCTGCATCACACCTTTCCCTCACCTCTTTCCTTTGTTCAAATCCCCCCCGGATTCGGCCAGGCAGAGGGTGCTGCAACACCCTTTGCCCGGCCGGGCCAACTGAGGCTGCGCTCTGCAGTCTCCGACAACGGTCCCTTGGAGACCAAAACTGAATGGCAATCTCACCGCCGCGCCTGCACGACCCGCTGACGGGCACCAGGTTCAACACGGAGCGCCTCAGAGCCGATGAAATGCTGGATGGTGGTTGTTTACGTTTGCGAGACGAGACTGTAGACAGCCTACTAGCTCAGCACGTCCTGTGCCCCACCGGGACCTGAGCGGCCTCACGGCCGCTGGACGGAAAATACACATACATACACATACATAAATTCCTCCCCGATCATCCTCCCTGATCATTCAGACCTGATCTAACTACCTGAAAGACAGCTTCCCCATCGAGATCTATCCCGGTATTGGCGGGGAGAAGCACGGGCGAGACGGGGCCCAAGATATAGACGGTCATTCACCTGCAATTGCGCCATCATCGTGTCTATACCTCGGCCGAGCAGTCCATCAGACAACTAATCACTCCGGCATCCAAATCGACCACGTCTGCTGGCCCCCTACATATCCAGCAGCAGCAGCAGACACTCGGAATCCAAACCGCTCCCGGGCTAGATGGAAAGGCGCGGGTCTGACTCTGCGACGGAGCGTAGCCCAGAGGCTCTCAACGAAGAGTCCATACAACTAATATACTATCCTGATCTCTGTATATGTGTCATTGAGGCTGGTTCCGGTCAGTTAATGCCCACTGGCCTTGCATTCTCCTGGAAATAGCCCTCTGGGGGACTCCCCATTTCTGAGTAGCCAGACGCTGCGAGAGACCGCTATCCGTAAAATAAAAAATTACCCCAGCCATCACTCACTTGTTATAGATCAGATGAAGCCATTTTGAAGCCATTGTGAGAGGTGGTAGAAGATTGGTGAGAGAGGAAAGCGAAAGAAGGCAGGAGGATATGAAGGGTCCGAATTGCAATTTTTCGATGCCAGGGTGCCGCAGGCCACAACACTCTGCTCCACCAAATAATAATATAAAAATGAAGCCTAGTCATTCTTGTAGATGTGAGAGGCAACAGCTTGTCAATATCTTGAAAATTGGACAGATGCCGTGTAAGTGAAGTTGGTCAATTTTGTATGGGGCGGCGCCATTTTTGCTGAGCCTAAGGGAGGTGTGAGCGAAAGGGGGGTGTCAGATGGTATCAAGTATATCAAGTATATCAATTCAATTCAAGTTAATCAAGTTTGCGGACGATTTTATTTCAAGTAATCAAGTTACAGCCCCGAACTTGACTTACTTGAATTGAAGTCAGCGCTGTGTGCGCCTTACAGGCGTAGCCCCTACAAGTGTGAGCCAAAGGTGAGGATACGATGGTAGAGAATCAATGAGCATCCAGTCCTTCGAATCTTATGCCTGCTTCTCATCTTGTGACTCTCACTGTGATATCACCGGGGACCATCCTAGACGGTGACCATCTTCTCGCCCACGGGCTTGAGAACGTTGCTGCCGTACTGGTCGCCGAAGTTGCCTGTAATCATCGTGTCAGTACATATCGAACCAAATTTCGAAGGGGAAGGGGACTTACCTTGAGGGTTGTAGTTGCAGACAGTGTACCAAGAGTCGAAGGATGAGACAGTGCCAGCAGCGCACTTGACGGTGGCGCATCCAACCTTGGTAGTATCCTTCCAGACCACCTGGGTAAAGTGACCCCATTTCCCCAGGGAGGAACTCGAGGGAGGCTTGTCCTGGCCATAGAACTGCCAATTGGCCATCTCGCCGTTATACCACTGCATGGTAACAGCGGAAGCAGCAGTCTTGACCTTGATGCCGTCAATGCCGCCGCTGCTACCCGCGTAGGCGAGGTTTTGGCCGTAGCCGCCGCTGCCTTGCTTTCTATCGACGAGTCAGTCTTAGCAACCGGAGCAATAGGTCTGAAGTTTCTGAAGAATGCTGTCTTACATATCATGCTGGAAGACGCAGCTGTTGGCTATGTTCTCGGCGTACTGAGCCAAAGTGTTGTCCCACGCCAGGTCAGAGGCAGAGTGGTTGCGGCGGTGGACGTTGTGCTGCTCGAGCATCGTCTGCTCGTAGTCGCCAAAGTTGTTGGTGGGAGGCTTTGAGCCGGAGTTGGGCTGCGAAGTGGGAGTTGGCTTGGGAGGGGGAGGAGCTTGTTTGGTGGGCCTTGGCTTGTTGATTTGAGGTAGTGGAGGAGAATTAGTGTTGGTATGGCCGTCCTGAGGATAAGCAACAGGATTGGCCAGGCCGGCCTTAGTGGGAGGAGCCGTCTCGACTTCTAAAGCCGGAATGTTGGTCCGGTTGCTGAAGGCCACGGGTACCAGCTCAACCGGCTGTGCGTCGGCTGAGCTGCCCGGGGAAGGCTTCGAGCCGCTTTTGACGGTCGGTTTGTGCGGCAAATTGTGCCATTTGGAGGCATCCACCTCCTGGGGCGAGCCATTCCACTTGGACCCGTGCATGTCACTCTCGCCCTTGGAAGGGTCCCAGTACGTCATGTTTTGTTTGGACACCGCCGCGTCAAGAGGCAAGGCCACAATGAGTGGCAGCATCACAGTAAGGAGGAGCGTAAATTGCGCAATCAAACGCATCTTGTGGATAGCCAAAGAAGTGGCCAAGCAAAGGATGAACAGAGAAAATGAACAAAGTTGGACAACCAGCGAGGAAAGAAAAGATGGAATTCAGCGCAGTGGCTGTTGTAGATTTGGACAAATTCCCCAATGGAAATGGAAGAGGGAATGAAGTTCTCTTATCCCCAATCAGGTCAGTCCAGTGATTGCTGGTCGGTATGGCGCGAGGCCTTGTTGGGCAAACATAAGACCTTCGGCTCCGCACGATTGATTCATTTCAATAGCGCGAGGATGCGGGTGGGAGGGAGGGATGGGCTTGTACGAAATCTGGGCTCCCAATCCTAGATGTAGCTGCCTTGGACAGGTAAATTACCACAGCAGGTATGCGGGCGAGTGGGCTGGATTGCCGATTCGTGGGATGCTCCCGGGCTCCCCACATAAGTCGAAAAAGAGCCACGAGATTCGTTTCTGACTGGTCCCATCCCAGGTACACTCTGGTCATCTCGAATCCACCTGCATGGGCGTAAATATCCTCTAAAACGTAGCTTCTGTCATGTAGATTAAGGACGGGATGAAATGTGGTTTCAAGAACTCATAGCGTACCACTATCATCATTACTCGTGCGTGCGGGGACGCCTGCTGGGTCGACCCATCGGCCCAGGCCTGTTCAAGTTGCACGGATGTCATGTCCTGGCTTGAGCGGTTGATAAGGCCCAATTGTTCATGCGACTCAGTTGGACTTTTGCTCTCATTGGAGGCTTACTTCCGGGCCAGAGCAACTGATGTTGGTCGGGACAGTCGGGTAGCTTTGACACCCCGTCTTCCACTCCTGAAGTCATTCATTCCCTTTCTTTATTTTCTTTATTTGAATCCACCCTTCACTTGTTGAATCACAAGATTCTTCTCTTCTATTGGATTCCGTCGTCAAAATGCCGTCCATTCCCAAGGCATGTGCGGCCCTCCTCGGCACAGTGGCCGCAGCCCACGCACTGCCGGCTTCCGCTTCAGGGCCGCTGTATTCCAATACCTCCTCCCCTATTCCGATTGAGCAAAGCGAGCAGGCTTGCAGCTCCGAGGACTGCTCCAGCAGCTATGGCTGTCACACGAGCAGGCCCCTCGTCTCCTCTACCCCTGTGCCTGCTGAAGGCCGGAACCAGAGCAGCTCTGTGGGAGCACATGCAACCCAGTCTGCCACTCTTGCGCAGCCCTCAACCACCTTGGTGCAATCGACGCCTGTTGTCTCCTTGACTACCTTGACCCCTGCGAACCAAAACCGAGGCAGCACTGTAGGCGCACAAGCCACCCGGTCCGCAGCCCATGGACATCCCTTACCAACCTTGCTGCACTCGACGCACGTTATCTCCTCAACCCCAACGGCTCAAAATCGAAGCAGCTCCAGGGCGGAACGAGCGACCCAGTCACCCACGACCGGTGGACCCCAAACTACCCTATTGCCCGACATTCATTGGACATTTGATACGAAGCCGTCGGAAAACGTCAAGCCTATCCTTCCGGGCAAGGCCTCCCAGATGTTCTATGGTAACTCTGGTACGTGTTCACTTGAACGTTGCTGCACTCCTGACGTGACAGCCGTCCGTATATCGTTGGCTCTAACGGTATGTTTAAATAGACCCTGCCAAGGCTGGCGCCTTTGCCTTTGTTTCCTACTACTTCATTAGCCAGTCTGTCAACCTGGACCACTCGGACCATGTGTCGGTCAGCAGCGTTGGTGCAGACAGCTTGGCGGTGACGTTCAACAGCCAAGAAGCCTTTGAGCACGCATCCAACACCTGGTCCGCCAAGGACGGTTTGATCTTGATCGCATACGCCAAGGAATGCGGGGACTACGAAAAGGGTCAGCGATGCTACTTCGACGTGTCGAGCCTCGAGGTGGATGCCTCGAGTAGCATCCCCACAATTGTCGCTCGTGGCCAGTCCAAGCACCCGGACGATATCACCTCGGGCGGTGACACGGAATGGGGCTGGTGGAGCCCCCGGAACGGCAACGGCGCCGCACAGTCTGACCGTGAGAAAGGCGCGGGGCCGGACTTTAGCTGGAACGCCGGCCCCACTTCAACTCCGAGCTCCCGCTCCCGCTCCCGCTCCGGCGCGAGCAAGCCTTCTGGACGGCCCCCCTGTGCCGCGCCGTCCGATGCAAAGTACGGCCTTCCCTCAGCCTGCCTGGGTGAATACTTTGACATGGACCTCGACAATGGCCTCGGCTACGAGCCCCTGGGCGACAAAAGCAGGGCCCTCTTGAACGACCTGGCGCCCGGGCTCGACTTGGGAGCCGCTCCACAGTCATCTGGTCACGGCTTGAACAGGACGGCCGCGTTCTCGAGGAGGCACCAGCGCGACCTCCTCGTGAAGAGGGGCTTTTGGTCGTCGACTTGGTCTGGTGCGGTCAACACCGTCGAGAAAGTCTTCAGCGACGCCTACGAGAAGGTTGCCGAGGCCGTCAATTTCTCGGGCGGCTACAAAAAGGAGTTCTCGTGGGATCTACCCGATCCCAGCAACAAAAATTCGGAGGCCAACAAGCTCGTGGACAGTGGCGCCCAGGCGGTCGTTTCGCCATGGGGCAACGCCATCCTGCTCAAGTCGTTTGGCTCCCCCAAGGCCGAGGGCGACGTGACCAAGTATCTCAACATCTTTTGCGTCGACTGCGGCGCCAGGGGCAAGGCGAGTATCGCCGGCAAGGCGAGCTGGAGCATGCTGCACGGCATCACCGAGGGCAGGGTCGAGCTCAACACGGACATGCACTTTGGACTGAAACTCGGCGTCGACGCCCACATCCGCTACAAGTCCGAGCTCTCGACGGATCTGCTCAGGGTGGGCCTGCCGGGCCTCAACTACGGCGTCGTCACCATCGCCCCGCAAGTGTCGGTCGGCACGCGCGTCGGGCTCGAGGCGGCGGCCAAGGGCAGGTTGCTGGCCGGCGCCGAGGTGGGCCTGCAAGCAGCCCGCGTTGTCGTCGACATTGTCGACTCGTCCAAGAACGAGAAGAGCGGCTGGGAGCCCTACTTCAAGCCCACCTTGGAGGCCGAGGGAGAGATTATTCTGTCGGCCTCCCTGGCGCTGCCCGTCGGCCTCGAGTGCGGCCTTGCAATCAGCGAGTGGCACAAGACGGTGGCCATTATCTACGAACCTTCAATCAAGGCGACTGCTCAGGCCGCTGCGGCCATGAGCCTGGCGGATACCGGATCCTTCTCGGCCGGATTCAAGGAGCGAGACGGCTGCGCCGGCATCAGCACCCAAATCACATGGCGCAACAAGGTATTTATCAACGTGGTGGATTTAGAAACAGTCAACCTGCACGATACTGGAGATCGTGAGCTGGTTCGCAAATGCTTCGCGTGAGATTCCTCTGCCCCTATCCATGCTTTATCCCCCTACTCGCCACGATGTGAATTTGATCTGTCCTTGATCTCGCTGACACGACTCTATACAGCTTGCCTGCTTATAAGGGACCGTCACAACCCTTTAACGTCACTGAATCCAAGTCAAAGAGGTCAGAACCGTTGGCGCTGCCACCCGACTCTGTCTCCGACTTGACGAGGGAGTACCCGGCTCACGGATCCAAATACGTCACCTCGGCGCCGGAGCCTTTGAACGAATCGTCATACAGCGACGTGAATGGGTTCAACTACGCTCGTCTCGTCACCCCAGGAGGCAAAGCCATGGTGGTGTCGTGCGGCAACGGCAACCTGTACGCCGCCGACGCCGAGGGCGAGCGCAACCCCGATTGCTCCGAGCTGTTCCCGATCGGCCGAGACAACTCGATAGCCTCTGACGGCGCGCGCAAGCTGATGCACTACGACGCAACTACAATGAGCACGCTCGGCGTGTCCCGTCTGCGACTGCGGGCTGACAACGAGGTGACGCGGTCGGGCGTCGTCATCGTCCTGGCGCTCTACACTGACGAGAGCATGCCCGACAAGTCGTATTACCTGGGTGTGGATGTGGATGGCAACGTGCTGTACCCGACGATCTGCGACTTTACCGATGGCAGTGGGCCCAAGGTCTTCTTGGCGAGCGACCCTGAAAAGGGCCTCCACATGCTGGAGAGCGACGATGTCAAATATTTGGTAACCGGCGGAGCCGTGGGCAAATGCTACCCTCTGATGGTTTCGGGAGGGGGCGTCCAAGAGTCGCCAAACGAAATAAGTGGGCGGGTTGACTGAGCTTGGCTCTAGGGTGATTCTTAGGCTGGAGAAGTCTGATTCACAGCAAGATCTTCGACTCCGCGCTTCAGTTGCTCTGGGACCGCGGCCTGATCGAAGACGGCGAGTACCGCAACATACACGCCTCTGTTGTCCAAGGCAACGCCACCTTCCCTTCGGAATACAACCTTTCTGTCCAGGCCGCTCCCTGTCCGTACCGTGGGGGGCAACAACTGCCTCGCGAGCTCAAAGATCATTGCCAGATTTTCCTCGACGAACAGATTTGTATGAGTGATAAAGCGCGCCCCCCCCTTCCCTTCCTCGATTCTTCCCGTCTTTGTATTTGCGCGTGCTTTTACCTTGCAGGTGCAGGGGAGATGGGGCTGATCGAGGCCCTAGATACTTGTGCCGTCAATCTGCTCAACAGCACGCTGGGCTCCGGCCTCTCGGCAAATAGCGATACGCAAGGCCGTGCCGGTGCCGCCCCCGAGCCATCTCGCCTTTTTGGGCACGCTGGATGGCGGAGCCCTGCGCGGCGCAAGACGGGTGGAGGCTGGCAGCCCATCACCACCGACGCGTTAGACGCGTGGAGTAACGCCGAGAGGAAGTCCAAGACACGCTCCGTTCGCTGGAAAATGCAACAGCAAAGACGGCGAAGAGACCAGTGACTCGAGCGACGCGAACATCAACGACCGAAATCAATCTCGAACGAGCGGACGAGGAGAAAAATATGCGAAGTAAATGGCGAGACGGGGAAGGCGATGCTCCAGAGCGCGCTGGAGGTGTTGGGGAAGATGGGCGGTGAAATTGGGCAGCTGTTTTCCGAATAGAGTGACACCATACGCATGCAGAGCGACAGGCAGCATCTGAACAATGAAAAATGATAAGGAGCTTCAGAACCTCGACTTCATGGGAGACAATGCCCGCCATCACCGCAAGACGGTTTCCTTCCAGCGTACACACACGGCTAGGCCCCGCGTGAGGTCCAGTGGGTGCGACCCCCCAAGGGAACAACAACAGGCCTCACGTCTAGTTCTTCAGGAAGCTACCCTGGGAACGGATCATTAGTGGCCCAAGCAGACGACGGCCCGAAGCCGCGATTGTCCAATATTCTCCTGCCAGTTCAAGCTCCGTCGTCCTGTTGTGGAGCCGTGGCGACGTGCATTTCAGCCTTGGTCGGCGCTGCAGTCCATCGCTGCGGCCTGCGCATTCGGGTCTCACTGAACAAGGAAGCATTGTGGACATGCCCGGCCGCTGCTGCATGGGGTCGGGGGCGTGAACAACTTGCCGACACCACCGCGGCGCCCCTCGCGCCGCCGCGTCGTCCGGTCCTCGACGCGCAGATCACTGATGTGGCCGGTTGAATGCTGGTGCAAGTCCAGAAGGGGAGGGCGGGGAGGTTGTCGGGCCAGACGATTTCCCTGGCGGCGCAGTCGAGAAGGACATTCTGCTCGCCAAGCCATTTTAGACCAACAAAGACGTCGTGACCGCTTTCGGTGATGTGAAATGTCTGGTTAAGGAAGAGGCGGCCGTCGATTTCGAACGTGGCGACCATCTTTTGCTTTATTGACCCAGCCTTTCGGCCACGGTAGTCTTCTAGCGGGATTTCCTTTCTCAAGGGGAAGATCTTGGCATCAAGCTGCTCAGAGGCTCGCTTAGCGACAAGAGGACTGACGAGGAGGCGGGCGTCGGCTCCGGTATCACAGAGGGCGAGAGCAGGGATGCTAATGCCACCAATTTGGATCTGGGACATTATAGCAAACGATTTCCTACTGCTATTGCTTCTCTCTACTACCTTCGGGACCATCAAGGAGACTTGTGATGGTCCTACTCTTTTCCCGAGTGGTCATCGTTGCTGTCGCTGCTATCGGTGTCGGCGCCACGAATCCTGTTGATCTTATTGGGGCACTCGATAGACTTATGCCCCATCTTCCCACACACGAAGCAGGTGTTGGCGTCCCAGTGTACGCGCTTCTCGGCGTCCGTAAGGGCCCGTTTTGCGCTATTAGATGTGACTGCGGGTTGGCTAGGTCGGTCAGATCCGCTAGATCGGTGTCGTGGGCAGTTCTTGTTGGTAGAGCTGGAGGGTGTCGTCTTGGCCTTTTTCTCCTGCCGCCTCTGGTAGTTCCGCTGTTTACTATACACGCAGTCCTTAAGCTGCTCACAGAACATTTCGTACGTAATCGCAGGGTTACGGGCGGTGGAGAGGAGGCTGGCATCGAGGTCGGCAGTGATGTGGCGCCATAGCGTATTCTTCATCTGGGCAGGCGGGGACTGAGACTTGGCGGCGAGAGCGTCAAATTCGGCGATGAAGTCGTGGATATCCACATTACCGTTGAGCTTGAACCCCAGCTGAGCCAGCTGGTCGGCGGCGGTGGTGATCTCATTAGGGTCACCGAAGGTGGACTCTAAGACTTGGATCATCTCGGCGAGGCAGGAAAAAGGGCGAGTTTCTGACGAGTATCGGGTCTCGATGACCCGAAGGGCCTTCGATTCCAGTAGGCTGTAGAGTAACGCCATGCGGCTCGTCTCGGAGCGGAAGGTGCGTCGGTCCTCCCGGAATTTATCACGTAGGCGAACAAGAAAGGGTTCGAATTCGTCCCGATTGCCTCCGAACGATTTCGGCTTATCGACCCGTGACTTAGACCTATCCTCGTAGTCCGGGTTTTCGCCATCTGGGAAGGCCCAGTGTGTCCATCAACCAAGTAAAGCAGAAAATGACACCCTTACTTGACTTGGTTGAAGGATCCGTTTACTCGACTTGGTTTACTCGAAGAAATGGCTGTGCTTTACTTGGTTGGTTGACATTACTTGACTCCGGGAGCCGATTTGCTTGAGTGATCTCTATATCTTGTCCGCCTGTGACCTTGGGACGAGGGGAAAAAAAGTGCTCCTCGAGCATGACTACGATAGCATGCCAGATCGAAGTAGGTGCTTTTGGCATTCGATAGCTGCCACGGTGTTGGAGCTGAGGCGATTCCGCTCATCCGTGATGACCTTTTTGGTCTGAGAGAAAACCCGCTCACATTCAGCACTCATTGCTGGACAAGTGAACAAGTCGAAAGCCATTTGCGACAGAACTGGGTAGTCTGCCGCATGACAGATCCACCATTGCAAGGGATCTTCGACTTCCGAATCAGCCTTGTTATTCCTAGCCATAAACTCGTCGAGCTCAGAAGTTAGTCTCGCTCTTTTCCTCCTTCCCTTGCCGGACGCCGCAAGCTCAGCCAGCATCTGTCGGCGTTTGCGAGCTTCCTGGAGTGGGTCAAGGGCGACGAGATCATCGCCAGCCTTATCAGCGACGACTTCTCCTAGGGCCAGCGACGAAGCCTCCTCATGGTCCGCAGCGTCCGCTTCCATGTATGCGTCTTCGTATTCTGCGAAAACTTCTTGAACCACGCTCTTTGCCTCACTGATCCACTGCTTGTTGTGACTCCACTCAAGTTCGAAGTAAGCAAACTTATTCGCCGGATGCAATGCGACAGCGCACCGATAAGCAGGACTTATCGTGGGGTCGATTTGCGGAGTAATTTCGGGAAATCGTATGCGATTACATATCTACCATCTGATAAGTGCCCGGCGCCGCGCACGAACTGCGAGATAGTAATGCACTGATCCTACGGCCCTTTGATCCTCAAAAATATGTCTAGTTACATGGATATAAATATGTATAAAGACTCTACGAGGCGGCTGGCTTACGTCGACGAGGGGCGGTCCGCTTTCCCAGCCGGGTCCTCCGCCCCCGACGGCCCTGACCTCGAGTTGGACCTGGTCCCGGGCCTGGACCTGGGTCATCGGGCACGGGGGTCCCTACCTGTACCCGTATCTGGCCCTGGCCTGGCCCCGATCCTGGCCCCGCCGTCGGCGCTGTTTGAGCTCGTCGACGAGTCGGTTCAAGCTTCGGCCGGCGCGTAACAGCTCTAGCTCTGCAACGGCCGCCTCCTTGCATTTGCCGGACGCCATACGGGCCAACAGCTCGTCCCAGATCACCTTCCGGCGACAGAACTGCACTCTGACCCCGTTCCCGGCGCCAGCGCTTCCCACGTCTCTTCCAGCTCCCGTACGGCCTTCTGACCTGCAAACCCTTCCTCCACTCCTTCCAGACGTCCCCACCGTAAAGACCCTTGCCAGGGCTGTGACGATAGGCATGCCTGGTACCAGAGGCTCTGGGGCGGGGCCGGGGCCGGGCCAGGCTGTATTGAGATTCAAGGTAGGTACTGTTGACGGGGCCGGGGCCGGGGCTGGGGCCAGCGCCTCTGCTGACCCGGCTCCGAAGTAGCCGGTAAAGGTGATAGGGACCTTGCCTTGGAGGAGGGCATCGAGGCCGCCCTGAATCCCGTCCAGCCGGGCCTCAAGCCGGATGGCGAGCCGCTGACTATTCTGTAACAGGGCCTCCCGCGTGCTCTCTATGACGCCGCTTAGTTCCGGCAGCGCGCGTCGTACGAGCAGGCTTACCGGCTCCATAGCCCCTACCGCGGTGGACCGCACGGCGACGGCGAACTCGTCCCACTCGGGCCCGCCAAAGGGCGTAGGCGAAGAACGGTAGCGACGGGTAGCGGAGCTGTGGGACGGCCAGGTCCTGCAGAAGTACTATACGCAGGCGCCGCATAAGCAGGAAGCCGTCAGCGGCTGGGTCGTCGTCGTCGAGACCGCCTTCTGCCCAGCATTGCCGGCGCGCGCGCGCCTCAAAGCGGGTTCCCACTCCTCGATCCACGGCCACAGCTGCTTTTGTAAGACGTACGGGGTTCGTGAGCCGCACGCGCGAGTAGTCCCCGGGAGGCCGAGAAGCCGGCGACGATACGCATGAACTGCCGCGGTAGGTGCGTAAGATATGCCTGGCAGAGCACGCTCTGGTTCCAGCGGCCGGCCTGCGAGATCTGGGCGAGCGACGTGCCATGGGTCTCCGCGTCCTGGGCGCCCACCCTGCGCGGGAGGTGCGTCTTCTTCGACGCGATAAGGCCGGCAGCGCCGAAGATACGCCAGGTCTCTTGTAGCTGCGTCGGGTACGAGCTCCTGCTCGCGGTCCCGCCCGACGAGGACCTTGATCCGATACCAGTCCTGACGGCGCCGGAAGGACGGGGTTCGCCGGCGACGTGCCAGCGCCAAAGAAGAGCTGTGCTAGGGCCCTTGCGTACAGAATAAGGGGTCCTTGTGCCGGAGCGCGCCCATAAACTCCTTCCTCGCCGTCTTATTTAGCTTGCCGTCCCGTAAAGGCTTACCAGGCAACCACAGGGGTCGGGCCTCCGAAGGCGGATAGTCGAGTAGGGATAGGTCTGCAAGCTCCATCTTGCGGCGGTTCTCCCCGTAAGAGGTAGTAGTGGCCGAAGAGGAGGTCGACTCGCGTACGGAGGTTTTGCGGCGTATACGCGGCGCCAGTGAAGGAGATCCTGGATCCGAAGCCATTCATCGGGAGGTAGCCGGCCTGGATCCCGTCGCTTCCGCGGTCTTTAAAGGAGGCGCGGTCGTGCTTCCCCGCTGGCGGCCCCGTTGCTCAAGGAATCCTCGTACGGCGGCGCCCGGGATTCTCCGTATTCGCGTTGCCGTGAGCCACCTGGAGCCTCCATGGCTCGATAACGGCCGCGATATAGGCGTCGATAGTGCCCCTCGTAAGCAAAGACCCTTCGGTAAGGTCTACTGCAGCCGTCGCGAGGCCTGTGGGTGGCACGTAGCCCTCGCGGTCGTCAGCGAGCAGCTCGGCGGCCTCGGCCAGGGGACCTCAAAGCTTCGGCCAGGCTTTCGGCCTCTGCCATGGCCGCGGCCTCGAGCTGCTCCTGTTCGCGCTGTTGCCGTACCTGTACGGCCTCGCCGTTGCCGTTTCCCCTTCCCCGCGCGCGGCTTCTTCTTCTGCGGCGGCACAACGCGTCGTAACAGGATATCCTCTTTGAGCCACGCCGCCAGCTTGTCCGGCGTTACGAGCTCGCCGTCGGGCCAGCTATAGAGCGAGCCGTCTGCTGCAGCCCGAGGCGTATGGCACCAGGCCTATACGCATTTGTCTGTTAGCCGCCTAGGGGGCCGTACGTGACAGGGATCGAAGTGGAGGACCGGCCGGGGGACGCGCCTTCCACTCCCGCTGCTTCGCCGCGTAACTCCGCGTCGTGTTCGCCGGCTGTTCGTCCTTCTTCGCCTGGATGCCCGCCCTCCGGGCGGCACGGGCGCGCTCGTCAGCTGCCGTGTACGAGTCGTCCGCGGCCATCTCGGTCGATCGGGCAACCTTCCTACGGGGCGAATGTCTGGGCTCGGTTGGCCGGAAACCCGATAAGTCGGGTGGGAACTTATCAAATGCACTTATCAGGCGTCCTGCACACGATTTCACGGGCGGCGTTTTGCGGGCGATAAGTGGTCACGTGGTCTAAGTGAATTACGACGCAATTGCGGGCACCACCGATAAGCGAGTGGCGCGAACAAGCGAGTGGCGCGCCACATGGTAACTAGGCGACTCTCATCCCCAATAAATCAACCAAAACACCTGGAATCAATTGAAATCAATCGGAGTCGTCTTCCTCAGACATTTCCACTACTATCTCACAATTTCGTGCGTTATGTCCTGTCTTGCCACAGACGCCACAGCGCTGTTCCTTCACTACTCTCCTCGACTTGCGACCGCCATTTTGCCTCATTTCCTGCCTCAACTGCGCATCCATCTCGTTCTGAGCCTGCAGATCCTGTCCCTCGGATAGTGTCATGCTCCCTCCCTTTCGGAGACGCGACTTTTTGGCCTTTCGACGCCGGCTGAGTATCTCATTCTCCTCTCGAAGGATCCGGTTTTCAGACTTAAGCAGGGCAATCTGATGCATGATTCCCCGCGCCCCCTTCGAAAGCCGGTCGACAGCTTCATAAATAGATGTCGGCGAGCTATTCTGATGACGAGAGATTCGCCCCTTGATAAAATCCGTCTGGGAGCTCGCTTCAGTCGGGTTGTTTGGCGTCTTAGAAACCCAGGGTTCGGGTCTTCCGTGACCCTCTTCCGAGGGTGTCGGCGTCCGTGGCTTCACATCCAGGCGGGAAATCACAGCGTCAGGGTCAAGCGGAGCAATTCCTGCCCCTCGAAAACTTGACTGGATGTTCTTTTCTGTCATTGCCTCCTGGAATGCCGCGAAAAACGCGGGAAAGAAGTCCTCTTTGGTGATGTGGCTTGTACCGGCCCTCATCTTCTTCTCGATTTGCCGGCCATACGCTTGCTTGAGCGGGCCAAAACATCCAACGTCCAGAGGCTGGAGTATATGAGAAGAATGAGGAGGCATACAGAGCGTGACGATGTTGTTCCCCTTGCAGTAGAGCTCGAAGTCCGTCAGTGGTGACTCTCATGGCCGTCAAGGATGAGGAGGCGATAGTTGCCCGAAGAGCGCGGTTTGGTGTGCCTGTCAAAATGTCGAATCCATTCCAGGCCTCTCTCATTTGTGGTCCAACCGTTATCAGACGTGGAGATCACCCAGTCTCGCGGTATATCGCTGTCCTCGTACCAGGTCGAGAGGTGGCACTTGCCCGAAACAATGATGAACGGTGGGATAGTCCAGCCTTGGGAATTGACACCCTGGATCACGGTAACCCATTCCCGATTTCCAGGCTGCGCTAATTTCGTGTTTGAAGGCCTGTCTGCACTTGTGACGACCATGCCTGTCGAGATGATGCCCATCATAAAGCCGGTCTCGTCGAAGTTGTAGATATCCGACTCCGCGACGCCGTACTTCGCGATTGTGTTGCGTACAAGGGCAAACCAGCCACGGATGATCTCCGGATCTTCACACCGAGCCCTTTTGTAGTCGTATCTGCGAAAGAAGCGCGTCCGGAGCTGCGGTTGTCGCTTTACGAAGTTGGAGGCCCAGCGCTTCCCGACGCTAGGCGCGTCGCGCTCGGCGAGCAGTCGATTGGCCATGTCTTCCACTCCACAAAGCCGGGGAGGGAACGATCGCGCATCTAGGTCCAAGGCATATTGAACAATTGTAGTTTCCTCAAGGTCGGTCAAATTCCGTGATTTGGGCGCGGTATCGCGTCGTGAGGGCCGGCCGCTGAGTCGGCGACGAAGCGTCGTTTCCGGGACGCTGTAGATTCTAGCTGAAGCACGGACCTTGAGATTTGGATCATTTTGGATAGCCCGAATGGCTAGAATCAATCGACTCTCTTGGGTTCCCGATCCCATTTTTTTGTGGTAGAGAAACGCGGGTTTGAACGGGGGCAGTCGCGTGGTCGCGGTCCCCTGCGCCACTCGCTTGTTCGCGCCACTCGCTTATCGGTGGTGCCCGCAATTGCGTCGTAATTCACTTAGACCACGTGACCACTTATCGCCCGCAAAACGCCGCCCGTGAAATCGTGTGCAGGACGCCTGATAAGTGCATTTGATAAGTTCCCACCCGACTTATCGGGTTTCCGGCCAACCGAGCCCAGACATTCGCCCGTAGGAAGGTTGCCCGATCGACCGAGATGGCCGCGGACGACTCGTACACGGCAGCTGACGAGCGCGCCCGTGCCGCCCGGAGGGCGGGCATCCAGGCGAAGAAGGACGAACAGCCGGCGAACACGACGCGGAGTTACGCGGCGAAGCAGCGGGAGTGGAAGGCGCGTCCCCCGGCCGGTCCTCCACTTCGATCCCTGTCACGTACGGCCCCCTAGGCGGCTAACAGACAAATGCGTATAGGCCTGGTGCCATACGCCTCGGGCTGCAGCAGACGGCTCGCTCTATAGCTGGCCCGACGGCGAGCTCGTAACGCCGGACAAGCTGGCGGCGTGGCTCAAAGAGGATATCCTGTTACGACGCGTTGTGCCGCCGCAGAAGAAGCCGCGCGCGCGGGTAAGATTAGGGCAACGGCAACGGCGAGGCCGTACAGGTACGGCAACAGCGCGAACAGGAGCAGCTCGAGGCCGCGGCCATGGCAGAGGCCGAAAGCCTGGCCGAAGCTTTGGAGGTCCCCCTGGCCGAGGCCGCCGAGCTGCTCGCTGACGACCGCGAGGGCTACGTGCCACCCACAGGCCTCGCGACGGCTGCAGTAGACCTTACCGAAGGGTCTTTGCTTACGAGGGCACTATCGACGCCTATATCGCGGCCGTTATCGAGCTATGGAGGCTCCAGGTGGCTCACGGCAACGCGAATACGGAGAATCCCCGGGGCGCCGCCGTACGAGGATTCCTTGAGCAACGGGGCCGCCAGCGGGGGAAGCACGACCGCGCCTCCTTTAAAGACCGCGGAAGCGACGGGATCCAGGCCGGCTACCTCCCCGATGAATGGCTTCGGATCCAGGATCTCCTTCTCACTGGCGCCGCGTATACGCCGCAAAACCTCCGTACGCGAGTCGACCTCCTCTTCGGCCACTACTACCTCTTACGGGGAGAACCGCCGCAAGATGGAGCTTGCAGACCTATCCCTACTCGACTATCCGCCTTCGGAGGCCCGACCCCTGTGGTTGCCTGGTAAGCCTTTTACGGGACGGCAAGCTAAATAAGACGGCGAGGAAGGAGTTTATGGGCGCGCTCCGGCACAAGGACCCCTTATTCTGTACGCAGGGGCCCTAGCACAGCTCTTCTTTTGGCGCTGGCACGTCGCCGGCGAACCCCCGTCCTTCCGGCGCCGTCAGGACTGGTATCGGATCAAGGTCCTCGTCGGGCGGGACCGCGAGCAGGCTCTCGTACCCGACGCAGCTACAAGAGACCTGGCGTATCTTCGGCGCTGCCGGCCTTATCGCGTCGAAGAAGACGCACCTCCCGCGCAGGGTGGGCGCCCAGGACGCGGAGACCCATGGCACGTCGCTCGCCCAGATCTCGCAGGCCGGCCGCTGGAACCAGAGCGTGCTCTGCCAGGCATATCTTACGCACCTACCGCGGCAGTTCATGCGTATCGTCGCCGGCTTCTCGGCCTCCCGGGGACTACTTCCTCGCGCGTGCGGCTCACGAACCCCGTACGTCTTACAAAAGCAGCTGTGGCCGTGGATCGAGTGGGAACCCGCTTTGAGCGCGCGCGCGCCGGCAATGCTGGGCAGAAGGCGGTCTCGACGACGACGACCTAGCCGCTGACGGCTTCCTTAAGCTTATGCGGCGCCTGCGTATAGTACTTCTGCAGGACCTGGCCGTCCTACAGCTCCGCTACCCGTCGCTACCGTTCTTCGCCTACGCCCTTTTGGCGGGCCCGAGTGGGACGAGTTCGCCGTCGCCGTGCGGTCCACCGCGGTAGGGCTATGGCGCCGGTAAGCCTGCTCGTACGACGCGCGCTGCCGGAACTAAGCGGCGTCATAGAGAGCACGCGGGAGGCCCTGTTACAGAATAGTCAGCGGCTCGCCATCCGGCGAGGCCCGGCTGGACGGGATTCAGGGCGGCCTCGATGCCCTCCTCCAAGGCAAGGTCCTATCACCTTTACCGGCTACTTCGGAGCCGGGTCAGGAGAGGCGCTGGCCCCAGCCCCGGCCCCGGCCCCGTCAACAGTACCTACCTTGAATCTCAATACAGCTCCGGCCCCGGCCCCCGACCCAGAGCCTCTGGTACCAGGCATGCCTATCGTCACAGCCCTGGCAAGGGTCTTTACGGTGGGGACGTCTGGAAGGAGTGGGAGGAAGGGTTTGCAGGTCAGAAGGCCGTACGGGAGCTGGAAGAGACGTGGGAAGCCGCTGGCGCCGGGAACGGGGTCAGAGTGCAGTTCTGTCGCCGGAAGGTGATCTGGGACGAGCTGTTGGCCCGTATGGCGTCCGGCAAATGCAAGGAGGCGGCCGTTGCAGAGCTAGAGCTGTTACGCGCCGGCCGAAGCTTGAACCGACTCGTCGACGAGCTCAAACAGCGCCGACGGCGGGGCCAGGATCGGGGCCAGGGCCAGGGCCAGATACGGGTACAGGTAGGGACCCCGTGCCCGATGACCCAGGTCCAGGCCGGGACCAGGTCAACTCGAGGTCAGGGCCGTCGGGGCGGAGGACCCGGCTGGGAAAGCGGACCGCCCTCGTCGACGTAAGCCAGCCGCCTCGTAGAGTATTTATACATATTTATATCCATGTAACTAGACATATTTTTGAGGATCAAAGGGCCGTAGGATCAGTGCATTACTATCTCGCAGTTCCTGTAGCCGAGCCTAGCCCCCATTACCCATTCGCGGCGCTGCAACGCAAATATCTCGACGGACGGTAGCCTATACGGGTGCTCCTCGACCAAACGCGCCGCCGGGTGGATTAGTCCCCCAGGCCCCGGAATGGCCTCGATTGGGCTGCTGGCCGTGGAGATATTCGCGTGCGCGGCGCCGGGCACTTATCAGATGGTAGATATGTAATCGCATACGATTTCCCGAAATTACTCCGCAAATCGACCCCACGATAAGTCCTGCTTATCATGTACGTTAACGATATATAGGGCTAGGGTTACCTGGCTGGTCGAAAAACTCTACACATAGTAGATTCCACTGCTCACTACACTCCTCAGGCGTGCGTGCCCTAACGACTGAAGCCCAGGCATCACGGATACCGTCAGCTGTATGCTTAAAGGTCCGTTTTGGCGGCGGCGGCGGGATTGGGTTCCCTTCGTCATCCTGTTCTTCATCGAGATATTGGTCCGCTAGCTGGGAGGCATGTTGTATCTGTGCCTCGGCGGTATGATCGATCGGTCGGTCCTCGATAGCGTTGGCGTTCGTTCGGTCGTTTGCGAGGGCAGCCGCGGCGCCGAGGCGAGTGTCTGCTTCATCTGCCCTATCTCCGGAGTATAATCTCGGTACCTTCGAGGCTACCAACCCACTTCTTCTTGATATGTAGGATCACGTTTTTCATCATATGCCAGACGCAGAGTTGTTGCTGTGTAAAGGGGAAAACAGAGGAAAGGGCGTTCTTGAGGGCTTTGTCAAAACCAGTAATAACAACGCCAGGAGCAGGAATGCTGGCCCGTCGGCCGGTATCGTAGAGATGTGAGAGAATCCAGTTGAAGGCGCCTTCGTCTTCCTTGGAGGCAATACCAAAGGCTACACTGTAGCTCTTGTGTAGTCCCGTAGTCCCAATGATTTGCAGCAGTGGCATGTTGAAACCAGCGCTCCTAATAGTGTGGACCATTAAGAGGACTATTAGTGCACACTGTGGTTTACACTATTAGTGCCGCACTATTAGTGTAGTGTGCGTTTCTCACACCACACTGGTGGTTCAGTGTAGCTTGCCCAAACTGAACGGGTAGTTCAGTGCAAGGGTCCAGACTAATAGTTGCACTATTAGTGCGCCCCATGATTACCAGCAACCCGGATTTTACTACCTTGAAATAGGGTTTCGGATTGATTTCAACGAAAACATGTATAACCTGTAAGACGAAGTGCGTATTATCCAAGTGGCGGAACCCCGGTCGGGGAGTTATGATATACCCGTTATGTCACCGTACAAAGGCGGGGTGCCAGGTAGCCTCTGTTACGGCCAGGCACATACGAGCCTTGACGGCTATAAAGATGTATTGGCACTATGAACAAAGACTCAAAGCTAAGGAGCAAGAAAGGAAGACTAGACTACACGACCGAGCGGGCCCTTATATAGACACGAGGTCGCGCGTGGGCACGTGATGCTGCTTGGGCACGTGACACTGGTGAGGTGCTGCGCTGGCGGCTCTACGCTGGCGCCCAGGGTCGTGACAGCCTCTAACCTATCTGTCATCTCTAGGGTAGGAGGCAGGCTGGCTCGTCAATATTTATGCGAAGCAGTTGAGATGCCAATACATTCGCTTCTTTCCGTTGTAATTAAGCATACTGGTAAGCGTCTAAACACAAGCTTTGCTAAGAGCTTCCGCCTGTTATTGACTTTATTATGCTATCAAAACATGTTGCTAAGTTATCGTTTCTGGTCGAGAAAACCCATTATACCGGATGTTGCCCTGCCAATTTGTTCAAGTTTGTCAGTCGGGTTACAGTCCAAAGCGCAGATTGAGCCTCGGCCACACTTCTACGGCCCCAGCTACACCAATCATTAGCTTCATAGGTCGATGCACCGCAAGCCTTCTGATGCTCTTCTCGTCGAGGCTCAACTGAGGATCTCCACCGCCGTTGCGTACGCAAATTGGATGCCGACGTTAGGAACACTGGGGCGTGTCGCTTGGCTGGCACGAGATGAGCGCGAGACGAGCGCGAAGCGAGCACGTACGGAACAATTCGCGACGATGTAAAGTTTCGTTGTGCGCCGACGCTAAAGGGATATGACCGATCATTGGCCGGCAAACTCAAATTAATTGGATTCTGTGGTCCAAACCAAATCACTAGGACTTCCTAGGGTGGTCAAAAAGGAAGTTGTCCACCACAGAATGATCTGACCGGAGCTGCCACAAACAATCCGGTTTATCCCACCAATCCTGCTCTCCGCCAGATTCCCATGATCGCCACTCTTATGGTCTAGTGCATTCCCTAGAGGATCATGTCCTCCATCGTGGATCACTCCGAGGCTGGCACCTATATAGATGATTCTGACCTTATTAGTGGGACAGCGGCTTCCCCGTCACCGGCACCATCCTCTTCGCCTGTCCTTAGCGTCTACCGCCGAAAGACGTCTCCTATTTGGCAGTATTGTCGAAGAGAAGAAGGTAGGAGTATTCCGGCAGCTTGGGTTGATTCAATGGAACGAAATGGTGGCATTGCCAGCCCTGCTTCGACAAGAAAAGAGCGAAGAAATACAATTACTGTGGTGGGTCGTCCGCCATCGTCAATCATTTGCGAAAGGAGCACAATATCATTATTTCTGGGCGGCAGGAGACCAGGCGGGAAGTGACGCAAAGTCGCCTCGGAGACATCACCGCATTCCTGGCCAATGGAACTTTGGTCTCCACCAAGAAACGCAAGGCGACCGCAGAGGTAGATGCCTAGACCAAGCGACTCTCCGCGAACTGTACTGCCGTTATACAGTAGCCTGCAGCCTCTCATTTGCTCATGTTGAGCAGCCGGCCTTTCGCGACTTTATCCGGTATATCCGTCCGGCCGCCGATGATCTCTCCGAGGTCCGGCGACACGGTTAAAAATGACTTACAATGGGGCTACGACAACAAAAGGAGTTTGTAAAGCGAGCTCTGCAGAATGCTCTCTCGTCAATCCACATTGTTCCAGACAATTGGACATCGCCGAATTGTTTGGGCGTAATAGGGTTTACAGTTCAATTCGTTACCGAAGATCATGGTCTGCAGTCCCTGGTGGTGAGGATAAAAGAATTGGAAGGACAGCACAGCGGCGAGAACATGGCAGAAGCCATCATGGAGTTCATACGAGAATATGGAATAGCGACAAAGTTGGATACTTTATGATGGATAATGCCACCAACATGAATACCATGATCGACAAAGTCTCCGACGACTTGGAGCACGAGTTCGAAGTTTTCTACGATCCTCTTCCTCACCGACTTCGCTGTTTCGGCCACATCATTAACCTGGCCGTGATGGAGTTCCTCATAGGAAAGCGACCACCCACAGCAGATTCCTACCACGGACCGTCCGACGACGAAGTTAAGCAATGGAGAAAGCGAGGGCGATAGGCAAATTGCATAATATCGTGGTCTACATCACCTGGACTCCCCAGCGACTTCAGACATTCACTGGTCTCACTGACGGTCTACGGCTACGGCGCGACAATGACACTCGTTGGAATTCGTGGCATAGCATGGTTGAGTGGGCCCTTAGAACAAAAGTCCGTCAAGGCATCACCATATTTTGTGCTCAAGAGCCTGCCCTGCAAGACGATGCTCTGACTTCCTCTGACTGGGTTACTCTGGCTGAAATTCACAAATTTCTCGAACCTTTTCACGACGCTACAATGGCCAACGAAGGCACCGGCAATTCCATCTCTGACGTTCTGCCAACCATGGACTATCTCTTGCACCACATTGAAGCGGCCAAGGAGGCCACTACCATCCCCCACTTGGCTACAATGATGGAGACGACATGGGCCAAATTAGCCGACTACTACGAATTGACGGAAGATTCGCCAGTCTATTCAGCAGCGACGGTATTAAATCCTTCCTCAAGTGGGCATATATGGAGAAGACTTGGGACGACAAGAATGAATGGATTGAGAGAGCTAAAGCTCGGGTAGGGGAGCTCTGGAGGAGGCATACAAATCTACCACTCCTGCCCTGTTCTTCGACCAGCTTCCGCACAAGAGCCAAGTGCAAGACGACCAAATGGGTACAAAATGTGGATGAAAGAGCAAAGGCTACGATTTTCAACATGGATGACGACGAGTACGAAGTGTATTGCCGCGAGCCTGTGGTGATGGTATCGGATCCGTTGAAATGGTGGTTAGAGTCAGCGCAGCGGCGACGGTTCCTAACTTATCTTTGATGGCCATTGACCTTCTATCGATTGCGCCTATGTCTACTGAGACAGAGCGGCTCTTCTCCAAAGCCAAACTTTCGGTAACCGACCAGCGAGGATCTATGAACATTGAAACTTTAAATCTCTTGGAATGCCTACGATCCTGGGACCGGAGCGCTCTGATACTCCCATCCGAGGTAAGATTTCTGTTTCGTCAGATGAAGATTGTCTAATTATGGATTCCAGTGTCGCTATATCGATCCGGAAGCCACCGGTACCAGGTCTGAGCCTCTGATTCAGGAAAGGGGCGAGAAAGCTGCAGGTAAGGCAGGCAATTCGGTGAGGGCGCTGGAAAACTTGAAGGCAACCTTGCAGGTGCGACGGGTGCAATGCCAAATGTCAGACTATATGTTCACACTAATAGTGTAGACCACAGTTTGCACTGTAGTTCAGTTTGGCCGTGACGAACAGACTAATAGTTCAGTTTGAACATCTCAGGCACACTGGTAGTGTAGTGCGGCCAAGTCACACGCACTGAATGAGCAGTTTGAGGGGTCCAAACGCACTGGCCACACTATTAGGAGCATTGGTTGAAACGGTTGACAAGATACGTGTTATCCATGATAAGGAGTTCCGGGTTACGCTTCCAGTCAGCAAGACAGTCAGAGTATATCCAGAATATCCTCCAGATCTTGCCATTAGGGCCACGGTCAACTGCAAAGAAGGCGACTTCCCCGTCGGCCTTTGCAGCGAGGAGTACGTCGAGGAACGCTTGTGTAGATGTAGTAGCGCCGTAGCGTTGAAGACGAAGCTGGCGCTGAATGTATCCTACATCACGATCGTTGATTAGGACCTCAGGATGGTCGCGTTGGGTAGCCTCGGCAATATCCTTCCGCATATTAGCTGCGTTGCTACTATAGGTCTCAACGAGACGGTATAGTCGTTCGATGCCAAATTTGCGTTGACTGCGTTGACGAATAAGGGCAGAGGCAGCCGGCGCGAAGAGAGGCTCGTGGCAGTGGGAATTGACCTTGAAAGTAACCCTGTACGACTGCGAAGGTTGGTGGAATCGGATGTTACTGTAAAACAGGCATCCTGACTTTTTGGTTGACGTTTTGTACTTGCCCTCATTCTCCTCCCAGGACCTATAGCTACCACTATACTGGCACCGAATGGTGGCTGCTTTACGCTTAGCCTTCCGGAAGTCTTGCTTTTGCAACGTTAACGACGTAGCCTTGATCTTGCTGATCATTCCGAAGTGCCTCAAGAGCCTCGGCATATGTGCAAAAAAGTGTGTCCTGGATAGATATAGGCTCAGGGCCTTCGCCCTCGATCGTAGCCATCGTGGCGGCGGCGCGGCGGCGTTGGTATTGTGTTGAATGAGAGTGGTGATAGCTTCAAACGCTCCAAATCAAAGATATGCGGCGTAGGCAGTAGGAAAAGGGAGGCGCGCGTTGGCTACAGTGGCCGCGGCAGCCATCGCGTTGGGGAACGCGCGCGCCAAATTGTGGTGCGCGCCTACTCTTCCAAATGGGGTTTAAGTCTCCGTGCATGTTTCGAAATCGTCCGTGCATGTTTCGTTACTCCGAGATTATGGCGAAAAGTTTAAGAACAAAAATCGGCTATCTTTCGCATTTCCTAGGAGGGAAGACCGTGCACGACCCGATGAAATGGGCACCAGACAAGCAAGCAGTCAGAGCGACAATTAAGTTTGCGATGGCCACGAAAAGGCTCGACAGGGCCAAACTCAATGACGCGAGCGGCAGCTGACAATGCTGACTAATCTTCACTAACATTATCCAGCTTCGCAAGGCGACAGACCATGCTTCAGCTGCCGAGGATAGGATGCTGAACATTTGGAGAAATTGGCCTTTAAGCAGGCTTGTCATGGAAGCATCGACCGAGGCTGGACAACGAGCGAACAGAATCGTGGGGCTCTGGGTGTCATGAAGCAATGTACTGTTACCGTAGATCACTTACTGCAGTGGCCGTCTAGGAGATTCCTCCGGGCGTAATACAAATAATAATAAAAATACTTCGAACACCCGTTAAGTTGCCAAGGCAAGGGGCTTAACGGCTGAATATCCAGCCCGAAGGGTGAACATCGTATTCCTGCAATTCAACTTTCCTAGGGGGGGACCCCCTAGAACCCCCCTTTCGCCTGCGGCGGCCATCCAGCTGTTTAAACCGCTCCTTGACTGGCCCAATCTAACTATATACCCTATATCGAACCTCCCCCTTCCCTGTAGCTTATAGGAAGACGTCGTTTAGTCAAGGTAGAGTGGTGGATACGGTGCATCGCTCAGCTGTTGACCCTGACGCCGTTGTTGGTCAGCGAGGCGCATCTTCATCCCTGCTTTAGCCTTTGTAGTTAGCCGTAAACGCAGCACGTAGGGAGACAGGCTTATAAACCTTCTGTCGGCGTGTGGTTATAGAGGCTCTGACGATCGAAAGGCGCCTCAAGGAGTAAGCCTTGCAGCGACGTAACCCGTGACACAGCAACATAGCTAATACCGGCCTGGAAGTCGCGTGTAGCGAGATCAGTAACTATTTGCTCCTTCGTTAGGCTCTGGCATTTGTGAACAGTGATAGCAAACGCCACCATCAGGGGAAACTGCGTGCGAGCGCAGGTCTCGTTGCCCATAAGGAAATCACGCCTGACTGGGAGGATGGGTGAGATTTTCCTGCCCTCGTTAGTTATTAGATATGGCGGTCCATCGTAGCTATCAAAGTCCACCATAATAACGGCCGGGGGATCTTCCAATGGTTCGGCGCCTGGGTTCCAGGCGATATCGTATACAGTACCCTGGGCACCGTTAACTAGGCCAGCTGGCTGCCATAGGTTAGTAGTGAGCATTACCCTGGCGCCCTTAGCAACAGGAACTTGTTAGATAGATTGCCAGCATTGTCGCTTGGTGCCTGCCCCGCGCCCTTGCCTGATTCTTTGCCTCCACCTGTATTGCCGGGGCGTTGAGATGCACCATATGCTCGTAATTGTATTCGTTGACCCGGGCCCTGGTAGAATACACCCGCAAAGCGGCCCTGAAGCTGTCAACCTCGCTCTGCGTTAGCCTGGACTGTACCCGACTGCTAAGGAGGTTCCAGGACGGTATGGATAACTTGACTTCACGCAGTTCCTGCAACGCCCGACGGAACTGAGCCTGATCATCACCAGCCTGGCGCTGTACCGTGGTCAGGAAGACGGTGCGGTCAAATAACCGGTAGGCCACCTGCCCTCTCCTTTCCAACGAAGACAGGCTGGTGCTAGTCGAATACAGGGCTTTTGCCGGACTGGTGGTAACTGGAAGAAATCGCCCACAAGCAAGACGCTCACACCACCAAAGAACTCGAGGCTACGCTGTGGAAAGGCCTGTCGCAGACGGGAATCGATCCGCGCGAGCTGCTCAATCCCAGCATGCTCTTTTCATCGATCACGAGGTATTTGACGTGCCGTAGGCGGGACTGAAGGGCGGCTGCGTCGGCTGGGGGAAGGTCGGTAAAAGCACCACCTACTGGGAGGCGTAGCAATGAATGAATGGTGCTGCCCTGTATCTGGTTACTCGCAACGCCTGTTGGCGCTACGCGGCAAATAGGGCTAGGATTCGGTAGAGCGGCCGCCTGAAGATGGGAGGAAAGCACCTTGATAAGGAACGACTTGCCGGTGCCACCACCACCATCAACGTGGAGAAGGATTTGAGTGGGATTTCGCGCCTGGAAGTGGCCCATGAATGTGTCGTACACGAGCCGTTGTTGTGGATTCAGCGTATTACGCCATTGAGGCCAAGGACCTCCACATCGTTGGCCATGGGGTGGCTAGCGATAAGGTCCTTCCAGTAGCCATCTCGAAGTTCCGGATATGTACCCACATGCCGTGTCCAGTCGTAATTGACGTCGATATCGCGGCGGCCAAGAAGGTCAAGAACTTCCTGGGTAAGGGGTGGTCAGGTAAAGGGCAGCGAGGCGAATCCAGTCTTCGTCATCAAATTCTTCCCCACAGGCAGAGCCTCATATTGATCATCTTGAGGCTGTAATCGAGCCTCTTTTGGCTGGCCGTAATGGTCATCACCATGATTGTGATGCTGCCAACAATAGGAGAAGGCCTGAACGTGGAACTAAAAGCCTGGCCGTCGAAAGTGAGGAGCTCATCAAGCCGGCGATGTGGGTGATTTAATGTCAGCTTTACACGGCAATAATCTGGCCACTGCTGGCCTTCTGGAGCAGCCTGATAGCGAGGAAAGTAAACCAACACACGGGGCCTGCCGTTAACGTTGCCTGGCCGCCATTGCTTCCATGCGGAAGGGTCTCTAGAGCGGAAATTCCAGTGTTTGAGGAAGGAAACGTAGGTCAGGTCCTTCAGGGCTTCCGGGCGCTGACCGTACTTTTCGTAGACGTTGGGGCCTCGTCAACCTCATCGCCGTCAATGCGTAAGGAGCGGGAATGTCTGTCAGGATGACGGCAGTCAACGTATAGGCAGATTCGTGAGCCCTCCTGTAACGGCAGGCCGAGGAAGTGGCTAACCTCCTGCTTCGAGTAATCCCGTTCAGCAACTAGCTGATTCAGGAGCTTTGACGTGAAAGAAATCAGGGGGTTGTGGTCCTTGACCCGGGGCATCAGCGCCTTCCCAATCTGGGCAAAAGACTCGCTCTTCTTTTCTGACTTGGAGCAGTATTTGGCTGCGTAATCGATCACCTGCTGGAGGCTCGTGCAGGGAGAGACATCTGTATTGGCTAGCCATGCAACGGTAAGCAAGCGGTTGTAGTGGTTAATCTGGCCATCGTTCCTCCCACCCCTAAAGGTCCAGTGCTTGGGTGAGGCAACTTGTCAAGGGAGGCTAGTAGGCGCTGTCCGTGAGGAAATCCAAATCGGCACTCTACCTGCTTGGTATGCTTATTGCGCTGCATACAGTAGTTGTTGCAGCGGTGGCGTTGCACGCGGTTGACTACCATCGATAGGAACTGAACGGTAAGGGCTGCTCCAATAGATTGCTGATCAGGGATTCCCTTCCCAGGAGCCTGTATTCGATGAGGCTCTGGGTTAACGGCAGATACGTGATATCCCCAGATACGGGCAAATCGCTCCCGGGATCGATTATCGTCAGGATCCAAGTCTGGGTGGCCACTTAACCAATATAGGCCATGGTGGTGACTGGACCCCCTGCCCTGCCACTCATAGCGGCCCCAAAGGTCCGTTAGGTTGAACTTCTGCTTCAGGACAATAGTCGTAAGAAGCGTATAACGCTTGTAGAAGTGGTAGGCGGCGATGTGGGCGTTGTCTCGCAGTAGTTGCCGGGACAGGACCATGCGCGCCGCCTCAGGAGCTGCTTTCCACTCTTGGAATCGAGGCATGTGACGATATAGTGATTCCCAGTGGTAATCGGCCGCACTTGCAGTAACGAAAGGCCAGGTCTGCCCAGATTGTAGGCATATGCTTCCAATTCCTTCCTTTGCTTATACCAATACGGCCGGGTGCCTGATTACCGCGGCTTGGCGCGTGATCGACTGGATCAGGTCCTGAGCCTCTGGCTCATCAGGCTCAGCCATCGCTTCCTCTAGGTCAGCGCGTGTAAGGGTTGACGGCGGCTGTCGCGTTGCTTGACGAAGTAGTCACTTCGCTTTCGGACCTGCGCACGTAGCAGCGTGTTGAGGGCGACGAAAGGCCACGTTTTATGGCGGGCAAAACGTCCGTCATGCCATCTCATCGCATGGCCAAGGTAGTCCTGGTACGTGATGCTCCGTAGGCGAGGCTCCACGAAGTCGGCCTTGCCGTCAGGGTAGAGGGTAGGGAACGCAAGCGATAACAGCGGCTGGGAACGGTTGAATTCGTCGATAGGGGTCCTGCGAATGGATGGCAATGGCATCTGGTGGTGAGCCTGCGCGCTATGCGACATATACTCAACATTAGCCATACGCTCAGAGTCAGGGCAACATCAAGGACTCGGGACTGCAGGGCGTTTAATTCGGTATCGGTAACCTGCAAGTTCGGGATCGCTGATGCGTCCGCATCGCAGGGATCCTCTTCCAAGGCCTCCTCAACAGGGCCTTGTGGGATCTCGCCGTCAGGTATGTCAGCCACTTGGCTAGCAATGGAAGCAACTATGCTGCCGTCAAGAGGAAGCCGTTGCAGGCGATCCTGGCTCACGACGATATCGCGATAGCCCGGGTGGTGGCGCTGTAGGTAATACAGCCAGGTCAACAGGCATGAACGGCGTACCCGGAAATCGCGAGCAAACTGTTGCTGGAAGCGAGGGTCGCCTTCCATATTAGGAGGCCGTAGGAGCACGATATCTAGCTCCTTCGGTAGCACTGGGAGCTCTTCAAATAGCCTACCAATGTTGCGAAGAAAGTGGATAACGTGGCCGCGATATTTGTATTGAGCGCCACGCACTTGTAGGACCTTGACGTGTACGTGAATCCTAGCAATAAGCATCTCCTCAACCATCGTTAGATCGGGTAGATTGCCGGGGACTTCCCCAAAGTCGAGGTTATTCGCAGCGCTGAAGAAGTAGGGCTCGTCGAGGGCTTTCTTCCTGTCTCGACCAATGCAGCGGCTGCAGATTTTCAAGCTATTTCGTTTCATATCGAACCAACGCTCCTGGCAGCGAATGCAACTATGCATCTTGTCGTCATTCAGGGCAGTATAGAACTCTCGCACAAGCGCCTGATCTTCCTTACTAAGGGCGGGCAAGTCAAGGTCACCTGTAAAAGGCGGATCACTACTCTGATCAAACAGCCGCGCTTGAGGCTGTGTGCCTTGACGAGTATAACGGCCGCGGTGATGACCCTGTGTCAATAATGAAGGAGTGGTAGGAAGCGATTCCTGTGGTATAGGAGTGCCTTGCACAACAGGAGCTGTAGAAGCAGTGTCTTGAATCGGCGTGCCCAGAACTACTGTTGGCAGGCCAAGGGTAGGAGGAAAAGGGGCCCAGCGGAGGTATAGGCAGTTCCGGTGCAGGCGCCAGGCCACGGAATAAAACAGGCATGGCAGGAGGTCGTAGGTCAGTCACAGACGCAGGCGTTGGCGCAGTCCGCCTTGGAGGCGTCAGGTTAGCTAGCGAATCCGTCCTCTTCGTGGCTCTGCGTAGCGATGGTCTCGAGGCGATATTCCGCATCGCGGTAACGGCGGCTCGCGATTCGGTTGCCCGTTCTTTCGGTGTGCCCTACAGCTAGCACACTGTCCTGTAAACTTCGTAGGGTCCTTGACGCTTCGAAATTCGACTTCGGGCAGATCTTGCTTGCAGGTACGACAGTTGCGGACTGCCTCGGGCATATTGTTCTCCATCTGACCGTATATATCCACCTCTTTCCCACCGAGACTGCTAGATATTGCTCGGGCAGGAGGCTTTGCGAGGACTTGCGTGGCTGCAGCAATACACACCCGCAGGTGGTGCCAGGGAATGTTGTAGCTAGGTCGGCCGCGGAGCTAAATTTGACCTAGAATCCGTTAGTAACCGATGGGTTCGATAGATTCGACCCACGATGGAAGTGGAAGCGTGTGCTTGGAAACTTGCATTGAAGAAAAGCTCTCGGAAACGGCTAGCTCGTTACCTAGTCAACGCTCAGGGGTTTGCGGCATGGCCTTCATTTGGTGGCGTTGCCAACCGACCACTCCCCGCACGAGTTGAGTACAGGGGAGGCCAATTAGCCAATGAGAAGAGGTTTTATGCCTCTCTTTCTGACTGAATAAACGCCCTTCGGGCTGAATAATAAAACGGGAGAGGCAACCCAACAGGGTTGCGCAAAGAGCCTTGAGGAACGAAAAAAACGTCTAGACAAGGGGCAGACAGATGTACAGAGGCAGAAAGGTAACGACGACCAAGGGGCAGCCAGGCTGGACGAAAAACACTTCCCATTTAAGGAGTTATAGCAGCGTACGCTATTCCATTTCCGTAGCTTTCTTAGATAGGTGGCGGTTTCGAAGCGGACGGGCCGGCGAGCCCAAGCCATGGGCGACAATGGAATCGAGGGAAGAGTCCCGTAAGTCAGGACCCGGCTTAGGGTTGTCCGGCTCATGAGCGGCGGAGGCAGCCGAAACAGAGAACGAGTGGGTAGCAGAGGAGGCGGGCTTAGGGGAAGACGAGATCACCGGGGCCTTATGCAGCAGACACGGTCGCTTCGTCGGCGTATCGGCAGGCTCAGGGCAATATCGTTTCCCGGGCGGCGTAAGGTGGCCGGTCGAGGGCGAAGCCGAAGCCAAGGGTGGAGGACTGAGCGGGAGGGTGCCAGGGGTGATCAAAGACAAAGAGGCAGCGCACGTCCCGGAAGGCCGCGGAAGCGGAGGAAGCTTGTTGCCTCTGTGGCGTAGAGAGAAGCGGTGCCATCGTGGTGACGGCGGCGGCGGCCTTGTCGAGAAAAGTCCAGGAATCCGGGACGACGATAAAGACGTTGTCCCGGTCCGAGCCCGGGGGGTAGAGCATGACATCATGACGGAGCAGGCCAGCGACCTTGCCTGTGCAGGTAAAGGGGACGTTAGGCTGAAATTGAGAGTCCTGCCTCTCGGCCATCTTCCTACACAAGATGGCCCAGGGTTAGCGCGAACAGGAAGATAACGAAGACCTGGAACGGGTGGAAGCCCTTGAAGGGGACCTTATTAGGCATCCCAGGAGCGACATAGGTAGAAAGGCGGACAAATCCGCAACAGTTAAGTTGGGCGGCGCCTGGACCGGGCAGTAGGTCCCGCCGCAGCGAGGAGTGGCCGGTGCCGACGATAAGGCCGGTAAAGGAAACAATAGGCGGGATGCAGGAAGTCGCCCATGGAGGCAAAGAGCCTAGGAGAACACTTCAAGCCCATCTTAGCCATATACCGTTTCGTCGGCACTCGCGAAGGGTCAGGGCACGGCTTACGGCTGGTAGCCCTGATCGCGGACGACAAGGGCGGGCATCGTATAGAAAGGTGCGGCCCGTGTCAGACTCGAGGCCGTCGCGTTGCTCAACCTCCCATGCGAGCGCGTAGGGGTGGACGCGGGCATGCATGAAAAACCACTCTTCGGTCCAGTCGGAGGATCAATAGGCTGGCCGTAGATGGAGGTTGAGGCTAAAAAGACGGATGTCGGGGAATCATCGGCATCCGATCGGAGGGCGCATATTCCGTCGCGAGCAGCCAGGCGGGAGGAGGCAGGAAGACGCGGGCCATGGCCTCGGCGTTAAGACCCTGATGCGGTGGTCGTCCTGGTGGGAAAATCTAGCAGGACAGTCCGGCTGGACAAAAGACATCATAGACATCTCACCGCCAGCGCCCCTTTGGCTATCGAGCGGCTTTCGAAGGTGCGGTGCGGGCATATCGGTACGAAGTAGAGAGGAAGACATAGTGCATCTGCGCAGGTCGATAGGCCACTTGCACGCACTAAAGGACGGGTTCTCAGCGTCAAGAAAGGAGTAGGAAGAAGTCGAGCGTAGACGCACTTATAGTAGATCAATAGTGGTATGGATTCGCCGGGAAGAGCGAGGAGCCTTGCCGCTGTAAGTAAGCAGACGTCAAAGAGATGCGTCGTGGTGTTGCGGAGCTGGGTACTGATCGGGCAGCAAGGGCGACGCGGATTAAAGTGTCCGGCAGGGCTACCGGCATAGGATGGCGAAAACTAGGGCTGTCGGCAGATAGGCCTGTCGATAGGTACAAAGGAAGCCCGGCAGGTCCGAGAGAGGAGAGGTCTAATGCAGAAAGGGGATATTAACAAGGAAGGATATAACCGTTAGCAAGAAGAATGCCAACGCGGCGGAACGCCATTGCCAGGAAGCGAGACAATCTCGGGGTATATCCGGGCGAAGGCTTCCTAATCTATCGTTCGTTTGCGGAGCCTTGCCGATAAGACAGCACCAGCATGGGGAGAATCGTAGCCGCGAGGTAAGATCGGTGGCAGGAGAGTGCGAAACGGGGACAGCAGCAGCGGCCGCTGCTGCGACGAGGATATCGCGGCGGCGAGACCGATCGCAATGGACGAAGGGCCGAAGCGGGCGTCGGGCCACAAAGTCGAAACGCGGCACCCAGGTTCCGGCCTATTGAGGCAAGCCGGCCGCGGCGGCCGACGATGCCTCACGAAGAGAGCAGGCAGAGGCACTCAAAGAGCGTTGCCAAGGGAAGTCGGCGAGGCGGCTGGCCGCGGAAAGGACGACTAACGTCGATAGTTCCTCCTCGAAGGGAGGGCTCGTGGAGGGCGTCAGAGGGCACGTCTGGAAGGCGAAGCCGTGGTGCGCGGACAGGGCCAATGGGCTCCGAGGACACCCAAGCCGCCCAGGAGGACAGGATCGGCCGGCAAGCCCTGTCGGGAACTCGCCTAGAGTCGTCAGGAGCTTCTGGTTCGGCCAATCCGACCTCAAGAGATGGATGATGGCGCAGGAGATACGCAGTCATCCGGACGGTGGCCACCGCCGCCATCACGCCAGAAAGGACAGGGTCGGCCGGCAAACAGTGTCGGGATTTCGTCTACAGCCGTCAGGGAGCGCCTCATTCGGCCAATCCAACCTAGAGCAATAGAAGATAGAGCGGGAGATATACAGTCATCCGGATGCCAGGCGGGACAGGATTGGCCGGCAACCGCTGTCACGATGTCGTCTGGAGTCGTCAGGGAGCCCCTCGTTCAGCCAACCCAACCCAGAGAGATGCAAGGCAGGGCAGGAGATACGCAGTCATCCGGATGGTTGCCACCACGGCCATCACGCCAGGCGGCGGCGGGAGAACAAGATCGGCCGTGGCGAGACGAGGCAGCGGAAAGATCCTCGCAGGCCGTAGAACAGAGAAAGAGGAACCGCCAGCGTGACCGAGACCAGACCCCGACGAAACGTACTCGAGGAAGCCATCCGAGGCAGAGGAGGAGTGAGCTGCAGGCAGAGGATTTGGCCAGTGTCTTGCTTTACCTCGAAGGGAATTCGTCGCGAAGGAAAGGCTGTCTAAGGAGCAAACCTGGTGCACACCAATACCGCATGAGAGGAAGGTATCGACGGTGCGAAAGTTTTATCGGGCGTTCCACGATGTGAGCACCTTGCCGATAATGACCTGCAGGCTGTGTTACCGCAAGCGTACAAGGAAGGAGTTGAGGAGATTCCGTGGGATCAGTGGCTATCAAGTCCCGTTCCTCGGGGTGAGCGCTCACCATTTGCGTGCCGAAGCTGCTTTCCGGGGTGAGCCCGTCTCGGTTTGTGTGGAGTGTGCCCGATGCTTGGGGCGCGGAGCCTGTCGTCGGCGGTCCACCTTCACAGTCGCCTCGGATGCGAGCACATGTTCCCCGACGAGCTGAAGGGGCTGACGCCGGTCGAAGAAGCTCATCTCGTTGAACTCGTGTTACGGCTTTGTGACGAGGTATAACATTCCGGGCGGGCAGACGCAGGCAGTGAGGTATCCGAGACATGTCAAGGGCCACATCACGGTGTTTCCAAACAACGTGCAGGAGCTGGCGAGAAGGGTGCTCCCGCACCCGCTCTGGCAAACAATGGACGAGATCCACGTCTCGTGGCAGGGCGCGGAGAAGCCAGCACCGTGCGACTTATCGGGTCTCTTGTCGGTGAGGCGTCAAGTCGTCGAGAGAGCGCTTATCTGGTTGAAGAAGAATAACCCCCATTACGCCGATATTGAGATTGATAGGGCGGAAATGGATAGCTGGGAACACCATCACACGGTGTGCCGCGGGTGGTCTACGACCGCATGGAGCGGAACGAGCCGTCTGCGTGGGAGAAGACGCGAACGGCGCAGGTCGTGCCGCCCGCAGAGCGGGCCATGGACGACGATAGTCCGGCGGAGATCGAAGGAGTCCTCGCCCAGCTCCTCCAAGGACAAGACGTATTGGACAGGGGAGTCGAGAATCCGAGGAGTGGAGCGGACGGGACTGACGATGCTGAGCCCGATGACAGAGCCAAAACGATCAACGAGATCACCTCTTCCGGCATGTTTGCATTGGACGGACCGCCGGAAGTGTCGGACGCAGAGAAGCTCCGCTTTGCGTGCAATGCCGTGGGTGGCGATGGGGCCGAGAACGACCGCAAGGGCCGAGGGCATGGATAAGGTCGGCGGAGGCGGGTCAAGAAGGCACGGATGTCCGCGAGCCATACATCCACGTTTGTCGCGGAGACGAATTCGCCGACTCGCTCGACGCCTCGTTCTTCGCCAAGACCTTTCCCACCCTACTGCCGTTCGGATTTGGAGGACCACGGCTCGCGGAGGAAGTCATCTTAGGACCCGAGGGCCGGTCAATTGGCGGGTACGGCTGCTGGAGAAGAGACGGCGGCGCGAGATCTTCTGTCGTCTCGGAACATAAGCCTTCGGACCTGGGCCGGCATTGTGCTGCGGCGCCATGGTGGCCGATTCGCGACGCATACCATCTTCTCGTTTCTCGTTTTCAATATGGATGTGCGGTCGAAGAATCGTCGGGTCAGCATGCTCAGCGCGACGCGGAAGAACTTCGCCGAGGTGGAGCGCATCGTACGGTCGCTGACAGCGGATAGGTTAGCGGCCGCCAGGGCGGAGCTGGAGACGTCGGGCAAGACTACCGACGATGGCGTCAAGGAGCTTCTAAGATGCCTTTCGCTGTACGGCTATCGGCAGCCCATGTCGAGGGAGCTCCGTCTGAGCATGCGGCGCAAGATCCAGTCACTCATCTTATGTCGTGGCGTGCCTGCAATCTGGTTCACGCTCAACCCGAACGACATCACGAACCCGGTGAAGCTGAGACTGGCGGCATACCGCACGTGATCCCGCAGCGGCCGAGGCATTCCTGCAAGGCCTCGACAAGGCGTTCAAACGTGCGCGGCTGGCCATCTCGGACCCGTTAAGCTCGGCCGAATTCTTCCACCGAGAAATGACGTTGTTCTTCGAACATTACGTGAGAGTGGGCGAGAGTCGGTGTTCGGGCGCATCAGCCACTATTACGGTGCCGTCGAGACCAACGAGCGTGGAGCGCTCCATGTTCACGGACTGCTCTGGCTGCAGGGCAACGTGCATCTAAGCTCGATGCTTGCCGATATCGACGGCGAGGATCAAGCGGCATACCGAGAACGCATCGTCAGATACGTCGACAGTGTCTTTCCGAGGTATGAGCGGGGCCGGCGTGTTGACCTGCGTCCTCCGTCTGTCAAAGCCGAGAAAGCTGACGAACAAGACAGGATCTGGACCAGGAAGGCTTCTGCGCAATGCAGGCCGAGCGATCGGTGACGTCAGATATATCGCAATTTCTGGGCGACGAACGGCAATTTTCAGCCTCGTTCGACGAGGAAGCGAACTTCTGTGCCGGCGCGACGCAGATCCATACCCACAGCCCGACCTGCGTCAAGTACTCGCTGGGCAAAAGGGGCGCAAGGGCGATTTATGTCGTTTCAAGGCGCCGTGGGGACTGGTCGACGAGACGGCCTTCACGGGAGACGGCGTGCTGCGGATTCGGAGGTCGCACAGCATGGTGAATCGGTGGAACAAGGCCATTGCCGTGGGGCTTCGCCACAACCATGACATATCTTTCATCGTCACACAGCGTAAGACGATGGCCCTCATCTTTTACGTCACAAACTATGCGACCAAGGTGGAGGACCCTGTATGGAAGCGCGTCGCCGCCGCCGCGGATCTCTTGCCTCCCAGGGCAGGTGACGGAATGGCCGACGGCGCGGAGGTTCGTGGAGACAGTGGTGCCGGTGACGATGGCAGGCAGAATAAGACACGGCAGTTCCTGATGAAGGTGGCGAATCGCGTGTTTACGGAGAGGCCGTTATCGCAGGTCGAGGTCGTCGCGGACCTCCTGGGATGCGCGACTGAACTGACGAATGGCAGTGCTTGGGCGTTCCTGAACGTATCGTTGCTCTACTGGCAAGTCTTCCGACAATGGCCGCACCTTCGACGAAAGCGGCGCAGCCGTTGCAGATGGCTCTGTGGACGAGTCAATACTCGTCGAAGAAGCAGGCCAGAGGATTTGCCGTGTCGAGGCATACCGTCATCGGGAGACGTCCTTCGAGGGCTGTGTCTCTACGACTACGTTTCGCTGGTCAGGCTGAAGCGCAACGAAAGGGACGAGGCCCGCCGGCTGGGAGGTCCCGTTCGAGAGCGGCTGGGCTCCGGGAGGCCGTTGGGCGCAGGTGCTCAGGCGACCGGGCAAGCAGGCCACGGTCTGCCTCGACGGGTATTTGAGCAAGGATTTCGACGAAGACGACGAAGGGTCGTGCTACCGAAGGTGCGTTTGTCGTCGACGGGCCGGAGGCGCCGGGTCGAGAAGGCTAATTTCCATGGCGAAGAGCGGCTGTGCAGCATCTTGCGCTGTTCGTGCCGTGGAGTCTTTCTTAGACGAAGAAAGGGCGACATCAACTGCATATGGGGCGGCAACGAGCAGCCCTGGCCCCGAGGATATCATGTTTCGTCGATAACGTGCAGTTGCTGCGACGGTCGGCCGAAGATGCAAAGCGGGACGCACGGCAGTGGGCGGCCTCGTCCGGTGACGGCGACCCCACGGCAGTACGTCCGGACGAGGACGGCACCGGGGAGGTGGGTGTCGAGCCCGGATCGGGATACCAGGCCGACAGTGCGGGAAGCACGAATCGCCTAATCGACGTTGTCAGAAGCTCGATCGGGCCGAACCAAATCACGGCCGGCTCGCCGGAGCTCACGGCGATGATGCAGGAGCTCAGCCGATTTCAGCAATCGGCGCTGTCCTCTTCTTCCGAGGTCCAGGCCACAATACTACCCGAACGGGGCCCAAGACGAATCAACATCCCGGGCGGGCATTCTCCGGAGCCACCATACCGCCGCAAAGTGAGGTTAGGGCCATAAAGTCGCAGCAAATCCGCGCATCCAGGAGAGGGAGAAGATGATACGGGCATACAAAGCCTGTCCACGGCACCGGTGACTGGTCGCCGCGCGGCGGTGCGGGGCGTGCTCACGGGTTTCGGGGATGACGACGTCCAGATGACGGCAGCGGAGCTCGAGGAAGGAGTAGCGGGGGCCAGCGCGGGAATGGAGATCCGGTTCGGTGCCTCAACCTCCTTCCTCGAGGCGGGCAAGGCCCTGGCAGCGCGGCTCACGCTAAACAAGAAGCAGGCGATCGCCTTCCTAATTATATGCCGCCAGCTTGACCTGATACGGCGCGGGAGAAAAGCAACGTACGCCAGCTGTGCCAGTTCGTCGGTGGAGAGGGCGGAACGGGCAAGTCACGAGTCATCGAGGCGCTCGTCGAGCTCTTCGCGTCCAAGGATCAATCGAATCGTCTGATGATAACGGCGACGTCGGGGACGGCAGCAGCGCGGATCAACGGCATTACGATCCACTCCGCCTGCGGGTTCTCGAAAGATCTCGCGGCAGCCGCAAACGCGGCCAAGGATCTCGACGGGGTGCGACTGCCGAAACAGGCGGAGCGGTTCGTCGACGGGCAATCCCGGATGGACTGGCAGGAAAATGCCGGCTGCGCGGGTCGCACCAGGATTTTGGAGGTATTCCGATCGTCCTCTTCTGCGGAGACTTCCACCAATTCCGCCCCGTCCAAGAACGCTCGATCCTCCTCCCCAGCACCGCCGTCTCGTGGGACGTAGACAGCTCCTTCAAGGCCGAGACACGGCACCAGCACGACAAGGCGCACGCGTTGTGGAAGAGATTCACGACCACGGTCATGCTGGACGAGCAGGTGCGCGCCGCGGAGATCCGGAATTGCAGAGGCTGCTAAGGCGGATTCGACTGGGCGTGCAGGACCGCTCGGATCTGGACCTCCTCAACTCAAGATGCTACCGGGAAGGCAGGCGGATCCCGTGGGAGACGTGCATCACCGTGGTGACGCCGCTGAACAGGAACCGGTGGAACCTCAACATGGAGGCCAGCTTGGCGTTCCGGGCCCAGCAGCGGTCAGTGATGCGCATCTTCATCTCGGATCATACGTGGAAGGAGGCCCTGCCGACGGAGGAAGAGGCCATCATGATGCTGAACCAGGGCGACGACAGCGCGATCCCGGTGCCGGCCGTCTTCATGTTCGTGCCGGGGATGCCGGTCGTCGTGAACCATAACACCCATCAGGGGCTAAAGCTGGTGAACGGCGCCGGCTACACGGCGCTGGAGGTCGTCCTCGACAAGTCGTACCCGGGGCATCGTATCACGGCAGACACGACGGTCCATTTCGGGCCGCCGGCGGGGATAATGCTGGAGTCGGAGACGACGAACGACGTTCACTTCGTCGGGATGCCGCCAGGCACGGTCCTGTTGACGCCCATGACGGTCAAAATACAGTGCCAGCGAAAGAGGCCGTGGCAGCAGAACGACGTCAGCCGAAAGGGCCTGCCCTGTACGGCAGCCTTCGCGTGCACAGACTATAAAGTGCAGGGCAGGACGCTCGAGCGTGTAGCTCTGGAGCTGCGGGGAACGCGGACGTCAAACATCGACGGACGCGCCGTGTCCTCGCAGTGCGACCCGTACAGCCTGTACGTGCAGCTGTCTCGCTGCCCGACGCTGGACGGCATTATGCTGGTCTCGAAATTGCGGGAGAGGGACCTGGTGGGCAACAAGGTGCCAGACGAGATGACAGACGCAGAAGCGAGGCTGGGCCAGCTGAGCGACAAGACTGTCCGCGAGGCCTCGGGATGGCTAGACGTTGATTCCCTGGACTCTAAAGGCACGGGCCTGGACGTGTAGCTATCGCGATGCCGGGCGCAGGGCGCTGGACGGCACCATGCTCGTGTCAGGGGTGCGGGAGAGGGGTTTGGTCGGAAAAGGCCAAAAAACCGGTTTCACGAGGAGCTGAGTCCTAGTCGCGAGGTTAGGTCGCTGGCAGGACCGGAGAGGGCGAACTGCGCCGGAAGGCGAAACAAAAGGGGCTAGGACGAAAAGGGTAAGTAATCATTAAGCGACCAAAGGGAAGCCGGGATTTAAAAGCTCTCCAATCAGCAGCCAAGATGGGTTCTCCAATCAGAAGCCAAGGGTTTCGAGGGTAAAGTAGGTTTGGGGGTTTTTGGGGTTTTTTTCGCGTCCAGAAGAGCCTTTTCGTTCCTCAAGGCATAGTGCAACTGCCAGTGCGTAAAACTTACACTAAACAACGAGGAACCGTCAGTGTAGTAGAAAAGGCCCGCACTGAACCAGCAGTGTGGAGCAAATAAGCACACTACACTGGCAGTGCGCTGAACAGTCGGTCCACACTATTAGGAGCCCTGCTTGGGAGGCACTTGCAACATGCTTCTGCTGGGCAACAAAGGCGTCCCCTTGCTGTGTCGCATCATGGAAAACATACCGGTACATCATCGTTTGGACTCAATTGTGCCTGCCCTTATCCTTCCGCCCGCGCTCTAAGCTTGCTGAGCGTTACTCTAATTCAGGTGCCTGACTCGCAGGACTTGACTCGCACCGAAGTAAAGCACCGAAGTACCCAAGTACGAAGTACGAAAGTAATACACTGGTATAAATAGCAGGCCTTGTCTTCTATCCTTCGCCAGACTTCTTTCACGCCTCCCTTGCTAGCCAAAAGATCGTCTCTATATCGACCCAAGCTTCCACGCGCTCGTCTTCTACTTTGTTCCAAATCAGGCAGCAGGCTTCGAATCAGTCAAACCCCAACCAGGGTTTGTGTCAAATCAGCGGGTGTCGGCCGTCTCTTGCGCCAGTGACCTGGCGATTAGATCGACGCGATCCCGACAGTCCTGCCTTGGTTCGAAATGGCGGCCAAGACCAAATTTTACAATCTGCTCTGGCGCGTCGGAGTCGGAGTCTGTATTATCGTTCTACTCGCGAACTTCCGACTCCATAGCGATCCTCCATCAAATATCGAGCACACATTATCCCATATCTCGACAAATGTTGGATCCACCTGTGCACTAGGCACCGATCGCGCACGTATAACTAATCGACCGCGCTAGTCACGTGCGAGTAAGAGGTGAGACACAGGGAGGAAGGTCTTTGCACACAGTTTGTATGGGACACGTTTCCCTAGTTACACAAGATATAACCAATTGAACCAGTTCGAATAACCTCACTGCAGTGAAGAGCCTGTCCACACTGATCAGTGTCGCCCGGCAAAGGTGACACAGAACAGCAAGACGGAAGAGAGCTAACCTATCGTCACGCTCTGCAAAGCGAGCTCCTGACGGTAGGATAGTTGCTACAACGCGCGGATTGCTACGAAGACTCTGCATCAGAGCCCACTCTAGTTATCCAACCGTGCCTAAGCTTTGCTGTCATCAGCGACCCTTAGGCGTGCCCTATCGCACATTGATAACCTCATTGACACCCTGTGCCCTGTTTCTCAGCACACAGCCTGTCAATATGTCTGACAATTCATCTGCCGCACTAGCCCCGGCAACAGCCCAGGATACCCCGGCCAACGTGTCTCTCGAAGACAGGCAACTCGTTGAACGGAACCTGACGATCGTGGAGCCCTTCACTCCCGATCAGGCATTTCGACGCGGATTTCCTCAACGAACCTATCACCCAGAGCTCCTCCTTGTCCACCGCAACAGCTTCTTCTTAGGCTGTGTGGCAACATACACGGTGGATAAACGTAACCACGGAATTGCCCTGCTTGGGGATCTGTATAACGACTTCACGGGATGGAGCTATGATGACTTCGAACTAATCAACCCACGCCTTAGATCAAGACTCCGGACGCTTCTCAGAATTAGGGGGATCTATATGGGCAAGGCCAACTCTAGCATCTCTCGAGCTTTATGTGGCCTTCTAACAAGTAACGAACTTCCTGAATGGGATGAGAACGAGTTGCTTGGTCAAGAGGTTGCTGAAAACACCGTGGCATATAAGGTGAAACAGAAGCTGCTCCAAGGAACTGTTAAAGCGGCTATATCGTCACCGGCACCGGTAGTAATCCAGCAGCCAACTATTACCCGACCGGCGGAACCGGAATCCCCTCAGATCATTGAGACCCATCAACCCGCTCAGCAAGAGCCTCAGCATCAATGGCGCGAATCCCTCGGTATCAGCAGACGCTCCCCGTACGGACTACCAACTTCCGAGATGCATACACGAGCATTCCACCTGTTCGATTCGAGAACGAGGAAGTTGAGGCCGATCTCACGATTAGATTCATTAAGATATGGGACAAGAAACTAGCCTATACCGGCGAACCATACGATATCTTCGATGACAAGATCCGGAAATTCATGAGCGTGTGCCGTCAAGCAAACATTCCTCCGTCTAAATTCCATGGTGTTTTCCCTTCGATTCTGGCCAAGGAAGCTCAGTCCTTCTTTCTACACGAAATCAGCACTGATTTAACCTTCGCTGAGATGTATCAGAAGATGAAAGAGCACTTTGACACCGAAATCAACCAGAAGATGTATCATACCCACTGGAGCACCTCACCTTCAGCCGACTTCGGGCTGAGATGCCCGGTAAGTCATCTGACGAGGTCCTCCAGGCCCTTCTTACGAAATTGCGGCTCTGTAGGAGAGCACTCGGGGATAAGTCTGGCGGCGAAGGTGGCCTGATCGATGCAACGCTCAGGGCGTGCCGTGGTGTGCCTGAATTCCGACTCGCGATATACTCTCCCGCACCTACATTTGAGGGATTGGCATCACAGCTTCGATCATCGCTATCTGCCATGCAAGATGAACGATCTGAACAACCCAGTGGCCAATATCCCCAAGACCTGGATAGAGGACATGATCAGCACTTCGTGGATCGCAAATTTCAGCGAAATTCCGGCGGAACAAGAGGTCAATCACAAAGGCGTCAGCCAAATTGGAAGAAGAAATGCTACGTTTGCGGCAAGGAAGGTTGTTTCTCAACGAGACATCCTGAAAACGAGAGAAAAGCAGCCAAAGAGAAGTATCTACGAGAGAGGCTTCCACGGTCAATCTCGTTCGTATGCTATGTTCTTGGCTGACTATGAAGGGGAATCACAGGATCAGGATGACTCGAGAACCGAGGAATCCGATGATTCTGACTCCTCTGACCCTTATGAATCGTTCTACGCTGCTGCGACGTCCTCTCCAACGAAGCTTTCCATCATCGGATCTCCAGTAGGCATCAAGTTATTCAACGGTGACGAACCCACACAATTCATACTAGATCGTTACTCTCAAGACTCGTTCCAAGGAATCATGCCGGACACAGGTGCGGCATGCATATCGACGGGAGGAATCGAACAACTGCGTGCTCTCCAACGAGAGATGCCCCCAGTCCAATTCCGTGATGATCGCAAGCCCGAACCAGTTAGATTTGGTGCAGGAAGATTGGAAACACCACTTGGCGTGATCACCTTGAACACACCAGTGGGAGAGGTTGATTTTCATATAGTCAACGTGCCAACGCCATTCCTCCTATGCCTAGCTGATATGGATCGGCTCGGCGTATATTTAAATAACGTCACGAACGAGCTCGTTGGCAATGGTGTGAGCGTTCCAGTGATTCGAAGATGGGGTCACGCGTGGTTCTTCTTGCGGAAACAAGAGGCATCAGTGGCATATCTCACGGAGGCTGAATTGCGGCGCCTCCACACGCGTTTTGGTCATCCATCCGTGTATCGGCTGCACAAGCTGCTGAATTCGGCTGGCCATGATGTGGAAATCGAAGCTCTGGAAATGATCAAGAAGTTCTGCCACTACTGTCAGATGAAATCCGACCCGCCACGAAGGTTCAAGTTCAGCTTGAAGGATGATTGTGACTTCAATTACGAAGTCATCGTTGATGTCATGACATTGGGTGGCAGACCAGTCCTCCATGTTGTTGATCAAGCCACTGCCTATCAGGCAGGAGATTCCTATCCAACATGACGGCCAAGGAAACGTGGCTCGCGTTGAAACAATGTTGGATGGATACATACCTTGGACCACCCGATGTGATCACTCATGACGCAGGCACGAATTTCGCTGCTGCCGAGTTCCAAGCAGAAGCGAAATTGATGGGAATAACGTGTCATCAGGTGCCTGTGGAAGCACATTGGGCTGTTGGGAAGGTTGAGAAGTATCATGTGCCCGTCCGAAGAGCATATGATATATTAAAGGCAGAGCTGAAGGATACCGTGAGCCCTGATCAAGTCCTTCAAATGGCTTTCAAGGCTGTCAACGACACAGCCGGTCCGGATGGCCTCGTTCCAACCCTCCTCGTCTTCGGTGCTCTGCCTCGAATGACGATGGATTCGCCGCCTACACCTTCCGCAATGGCAAGAGCTAAGGCGGTGTGGCGAACGATGTCAGAGCTGAGGAAGATCAACGCCCAGAGGAAGGTTCAGACCGCGTTAAATACGCGTAATGGGCCTGATACAGCGTTGCGCCTGCCCCTATCCCTGGCGCTAGGAAGCGAAGTTCGCGTATTTCGCGAGAAGCACGGATGGCAAGGCCCATATAAAGTGCTCGAGGTGACGGATACGGAAATCGCAGTTGACCTGGACAACGGACCAGCGAAATTTCGCAGTACATGCGTCCAACCGTACTATCGTCACCCGGAATCGCTCCTTCCTCAGTTGCAACCCGACCCTAGCCCTAGCCGCACAGACCCATCAACACAACAATCACTCCTTCCCTCAACACAATCCGATCAACAACATCCTCTTCAAAACCCTCTTCCCCTTCCACCCACAACTCAACAACCTCTTCCTCTTCCTACCACAGAAGACCAACCCAAACCTTTCGAATACCCTGAGCCAAAGAGGCCGCGCAGGCAGATCGGAAGAAATACTGCAACGCCATACGAGAAATCACGCCTCGTTGTGCAAGGATACAATGATGATGGGAAACGTGGGATCCTCACACAAGCCCCTACCATCAGCCGGCCCGCACAACGCGTGGCCTTGGCCTTAGCACCGTTTCTCTGCACACGGGATATGTTCATCATGATCAGAGACATCACGATGGCATACACACAATCCCAGACCAAGCTGGCCCGTGTCATCCTTGCAGCCCTTCCTCAAGAACTCAAAAGAAGATATCCAGAGGAACAATCCTGCGAATCGTGAAGCCGCTATATGGCATCGCAGAGGCAGGAGCCCACTGGTTCAACACATATCACGACCATCACTGCCGCAAGCTTAATATGGAAACCTCTTCGTTTGACCCGTGCCTTCTGATCACGGCAAACAACATCGCCGACAAGGACCTGTTTGGCATCGCGGCCTTGCAAACGGATGACACATTCATTGTTGGCACAGATGCATTTCTCAAGATCGAGGAGAAAGAACTCTGCTTTAAGGCCAAGCCAAAAGAGATTCTCCAAGAAGGTTCCATCTGCGACTTTAACGGCAGCCGCCTGACCATACAAAATGGCTGTGTCATCGTCAGGCAGAAGGGCCAAGCCCAAAACCTCGAGGAGATCAATCTTCAGGCATCAAGTAGGCATCAGGATTATGCTGCTCAACGCGCCCGGGGCATATATCGCTTCGATTTGCCAACCCGAAGCAACATACGATTGTTCCGTTGCGGCACAAGCCCAAGAGCCCGTTAATACCGACTTCAAGGCTTTGAACAAGCGGATTGAATGGCAGATCAACAATCCCGACCGTGGCCTATGTTACATACCCATCGATCTCGAGAGCGCGAAGATCTTTGTGTTCACCGATGGATCATTCGCCAACAATAAGGATTTAAGCTCTCAAATCGGCTTTGTGATTATCATCGCCAATGAGACCGCGCAATCAACCGATTCATTTTCCATCCGCGGAAACATTCTTCATTGGAGCTCAACTAAATGCAAGCGCGTTACTCGAAGCGTTCTTGCATCAGAGATCTATGGATTGACATCGGGCTTCGATCTCGCATTTGTGATCAAGCAAACGGTCAATACGATCGCACAACGCCTTGATCTGAAGCAAATCCCGCTCGTCATTTGCACAGATTCATATAGCCTCTATGAGTGCCTCGTCAAACTTGGCACCACAACAGAGAAGCGACTCATGATAGATATCATGGCGCTGAGGCAGGCATATGAATCAAGGGATATTGCGGAAATCCGTTGGGTCAACGGCGCAGATAACCCTGCCGATGCTATGACGAAGGCATCACAAACAGCGCCCTCACGCAGTTTATTAGCGACAATCAGCTAAACGTGAGGTGGAAGGATTCGTTCATCGCAATAACACAACAATTCTCGACGAGATTTAATCGGTTTTTTCGTCTTCTTCTGCTTTACCGTCGTTCTTTTATTCCATTCACATTAACGAGGAGATCCTCGTGTCCATATTCCAACGTGGGACCGATGGAATCAGCTAGCGCATCCGGCGCTCGAAATGCGGCCCATGATGGCGTGTGGCAGAACACACCCAGTGTGGGGGAGGGAGAGCTACAGTCAGAGCACACTATCCAACATAGTGATGCATCGTGGTAGGAGTTTGTTGGTGTTCTTGTTCGTGTTTTCCTATCTCATCTTAATTCGCTGTGTTTGGTGTGTTTTTGGTGGATTGATTAGTGCGCGATCATCGATTTAGAAAGAGGTTCCAGTGTTGGATCCACCTGTGCACTAGGCACCGATCGCGCACGTATAACTAATCGACCGCGCTAGTCACGTGCGAGTAAGAGGTGAGACACAGGGAGGAAGGTCTTTGCACACAGTTTGTATGGGACACGTTTCCCTAGTTACACAAGATATAACCAATTGAACCAGTTCGAATAACCTCACTGCAGTGAAGAGCCTGTCCACAACAAATCAAGATACGCAGCAAGCGACCGTCAACTCTCTCCAGGCATCTTCACTATCAACAACGAGTACTACCATTTCAAGCGTGCCTGGCACAATCCCCGGCATTCCGGGCAAGGTGTGGCAGTCAGCGAAAGACCGCAATTTCACCAATGACCAACAAACTATCATTGATAGCTGGCTGCAGAAGAATCCTAACTTCCGGTACGAGCTCCTGACCGACCAGTCCGCCGAGAATTACGTTATAGCGCGTTATAACGAGTCACGCCCCGATATCGTCGCCTTATACCTGGCACTGCCCATTGCCATTCTCAGAGCAGACTTGCTGCGCTATCTGATCTTGCTGTCTGAGGGGGAATTTGGGTGATATCGATGTTACCTGTGAGGTAGGCGTCGGTCACTGGCTGCCTGCTGAGATGTATCACACCGCACCGAACATCAGCTTGATAGTTGGCCTCGAGTTCGATATCCCATCCGACGAGGCTCGCCCTGTTTACTCGCAACTAACGAATTGGGTATTTGCTGCTCGACCAGGCTCGTCGCACCTATTGTATGTCGTCAATTCCGTCGTCAAAGAGCTATATAATATCGCTACAGAGAACGGCGTCCCACCGAGCGGTATCACTCTCGACATGATTTCCGATGTCGTCGACATTACCGGTCCAAAAATGATGACACTCGGTATTGTGCAGAGTCTGGGGGAAAAGCTGAGTCGAATGGTGGACGACCGGGATATTGCTGGTATAAAGAAGCCGCGCTTTGTGGGCGACGTGCTAGTCATGCCAGGCGCTGCGTTTGCTGCGTTACAGAACGGATTTCCCCAGGATCAAGTGGAGCCACTTGTGAGCCATCATTATGCCGGCTCGTGGAAAGGTCCGGCGGATGAAGCAAGGGAGAAGCGCAAAAAAGAACAAAGGAGAAGAGCGGAAGAAGGTGGAATAGTAGAAAGCCGAGACGAGAAGTAAAGAAGGGTCTTAAAGCTTTTTAGAGGCAAGGTCAAGTAGCCGGAAATGCCGCGCCCGTAAAATAAGATACCTGGGTTGCCGCCGAATACGCCGTCACAGGAGTAAGCAAAGCTGTAAATTACTGTGCTACGAAGATGCAACAAAGCATTGATGTAAGGCGCGCGCTGTCAGGTCTGTGGCGGCAAAGGTGGGGGTAAACTTCCGTATGGCAAAGTAGCGGGTAAACCATGTTGGCCAATCAGAAGCGTTTTGTACGGTACGAATAATTCTACGGCGTACAGTATACATCGGCTCTGGCCAATCACAACGCTGCCTCCGGGTGAACTCTGGGTAAATCTGACCAATGATGGTTCTGCAAATAATGAGTAGGCCAATCAAAACGCTGGGTAAGGAAAAAGTGGTCTGCACTTTTTCCTCAGTAAAGAAGCACAGCTGAATCTGCGCACTGCGTGTACTTCGTCACTACGTAGCTCAAATTTACAGCTTTGCTTAACGAGAAGTCCTTACTCGTCCCACAGACCCACGTAAAGTGGGTCCTCACCACCTGTCTGTGTCAACCACCTGGCTGTGTCACTTCACCGCTTCAAGCCTCTATCTTGACCTCAACAACGCCACATTATGAAGAATAAAGAGCTTACGCTTGAAAGGCGCGTAGCCGAGGCTATTAAAGCCATTGAGGCAAATCCCAATATGTCCTTCGCGCTGCGGCTAAGGAATTTGGGGTTCCACGCGAACGACTCCGCTTGCGATTTCACGGCATCCAACCTCGCAGCGGCCATAAAGCAACGCATACGAGGCTATCGCCAGCTCAAGAGGACTCAATCGATCTGTATATCGATCGTCTTGAGCGTATAGGACTTGCGGTGCGGAAGGACTTACCATGCCCCACCCCCCTTTCGGTAACACCCACCTTTCGGTAGCGCAATTGAAAAATTCTCCACCAAAAGTCTACCATTTGAACTACATGAAATATGATCAGAACTTAACATTATAAACACAAAAAAATATCATTCCGTAGAGAAATGGACGCTCTTATATGTACCGGCGCTTTTTACCATTCGCCCGGATCTGGTGGTGACTGGAAGGGCTTCGGTGCCACCTTGACTTCGATCACTGAAGCTGTCTCCACCTCTGAGACCTCCTCCTCCTCTGTGTCAGAATTCAGCACAACGGCTATCTCTTGGCTTTTAATTTGGGAATGGCTTCCTCAGCCACCAAAGCTTCACTGAGAGTCATGAACCGTCTGTTCGGGTTCGGAATTGCTCTCCTCTTCTTGCCTCTGCAGCCGGGCCACTTCTTCCTCTAGCTTCGCGATTCTGTTGCTGTGCTCGGCAAGCGTCTGTTCTTGGGCTTCAAAGCCTCTAGCTATCACGGCGTATCGTCTCCGGGTGCCAGGAGTCTTGTTCTTTCCGAAATCGCGAATCTGGCGGCTGTTTCTTGGCGTATCATCAGAACCCAAAAATGGCGCGGACTTTGGAGACGTCTCTACAATGTCTGCGTGAATTTCTGGATGCCGCAATGCCTTGGATCGTGAGATCGGCCAATTCCCAGTGACCCTCCAGCCGGACAATATATTCTTTGCCGTCATTCCAACCTCGCGCGCTTTAGCATATGCCCGTATAAAATTGACCTTATGAACAGGCGCAGAATCGGTCAAACAGGTCAATTTCTGAAGTTCTTTCCGGTAAGCTGCCTTGGAGGCATTGAATACACCGTTATCTAACGGCTGGAGGCCATGAGAGCAGTGGGCAGGAAGGTAACAGCAATAAACGTTGTTCAAAAGCATGTGGCCATCCATGCATGCTGGTCCCGGTTAACAGTAATTCCTACAGAGGTGGATAAAGAAACGCACCGTTGCATGACTTCCATGTCCATCTAATATGATCAGTCTAGCATCTGAGGCATCGGCTGGTCGCGTCTGGGGCAAATAGACCTCTCAAGCCACTCAATAGCGATATGGTTGTCCGTCCATCCGTTGTGCGACGTTATGTAATGCCAGTCGGCTATTTTGCCGAATTCCGTCAAGAACCACTGTTTCTGAAGTTCTTTGCCCTTAAAGATAATGCCAGGGTAAGGACACGGCCGTCCGCGGTGATAGCTTCAATAAATGAGGTCCAGTTGCGGGACTGTGGCCCTTTCAGAAGGGCCTTCCGTTTTGGGTCTGCACTCCCAACCACAAGACTATCCAAACCTGGCAAAAGGAGTCTGGTTAGTAAAAGTAATGAAAGACAAGCCAAATACTCACCAAAGCCAGACATAATACCGCCTTCGTCAACATTCACGGTATTTTCTGGTTTAATCCATCCATACTCCTTTTCCTGATATCGAAGAACCAGTGAACCGCCCGAGGCGTAAAAGCATTAAATCGGTTAGCTTCCTGACGTCTCCCACGCTTGTTCTTGATGTCCGGATGGCGATTGATGAATTTAGAGACCCAGTTGCGCCCCACTGTCCGCTCGTTGTTCAGTTGCTTCATAAGAGCCTCCACACATGCGCGGATCTGACTGTGGGAGGAGCATAGCCGAGAGACTCTTGGCGGAGGATCCAAGAAACCAAGCGAGCTTCCTGAGACTTACTCAAGAGTTGACGAGGCTGGATCTGATCAGCCAGGGCTACCTGGCCTTTGAGTCTGTCGGAAATAGACTGCTGAGGTATGTCATACTTTTGGGCGGCGCGGTACTGCGACAAGCCGTTTTTTGTGACATCAATTATCGCATTAGCCATAATATCCTCCGTATAAATACTCCGAGGCCGCTTTAAGGTCATTTTGGTCATGTGGTGGAGGAATAACGAGAAGAATCATCGTCAGGAGCAATGCTCCTAATAGTGTGGCCAGTGCGTTTGGACCCCTCAAACTGCTCATTCAGTGCGTGTGACTTGGCCGCACTACACTACCAGTGTGCCTGAGATGTTCAAACTGAACTATTAGTCTGTTCGTCACGGCCAAACTGAACTACAGTGCAAACTGTGGTCTACACTATTAGTGTGAACATATAGTCTGACATTTGGCATTGCACCCGTCGCACCTGCAAGGTTGCCTTCAAGTTTTCCAGCGCCCTCACCGAATTGCCTGCCTTACCTGCAGCTTTCCTCGCCCCTTTCCTGAATCAGAGGCTCAGACCCGGTACCGGTGGCTTCCGGATCGATATAGCGACACTGGAATCCATAATTAGACAATCTTCATCTGACGAAACAGAAATCTTACCTCGGATGGGAGTATCAGAGCGCTCCGGTCCCAGGATCGTAGGCATTCCAAGAGATTTAAAGTTTCAATGTTCATAGATCCTCGCTGGTCGGTTACCGAAAGTTTGGCTTTGGAGAAGAGCCGCTCTGTCTCAGTAGACATAGGCGCAATCGATAGAAGGTCAATGGCCATCAAAGATAAGTTAGGAACCGTCGCCGCTGCGCTGACTCTAACCACCATTTCAACGGATCCGATACCATC